TGGGGGCTGCCCCTGGGGCTTCCTGGCGAGAGGAGAAAAGCCTTGGGCAGGGAGGGGAGGGGAGGAAAAGAGCTGCCTCTGAGCTAAATCAGCGCGCACAAATCTGGTGTCAGCTCTGGCTTTTGGCTGCAGTAGCGATGGGTGTGCCACAAGTGTCCCAGCAGGGAGAGGTGACAGAGTGCAGCCTGCACGGCTGAGAGCCATGTTCTGAAACCACAGACCCCCCACGATAACCCCACAGACCCCAGCTCCTCTGCAGATTGCCCCGTTAGGAGCAGACGGGCACGTCCCCAGCACGGACAATCCTTGGCACGTGCTCAGGTGCTTGGTGACCCTGGCACGGCTGCAGGAAAGCCCTTCAGGGACAAACATTGGGGCATCAGCTTCGATTCCTCCCTGCCTCGGTGCTGGCTCGGGGTGCCCCCCACCGCCCCAAAGCTTCTCCTGGACCCCGCTCCCACCTTCGCAGCACCCCATGGCCGTGGTGCCGTGCACCCTGCTGGCGGCACAGCCAAATTTCTCCCTCCCCAAGGTCTCCTCCATCAACCGGGTGCTGAGGAGCCTGCAGAGGGACCCGTGCCCTGCAGCCGGCCGGGCTTCAGCGAGGGACCCGCTGCCACGGGGTGAGGCTGGCTGGGGGTGAGGCCCCAGGGAGAGGGGCTGGGGGGGCTGCACCCCACGGCAGGGAGCGGGTCTGGGAGCACGGAGAGCTCCTGCCACGGCCCTCCAAGGTGCACAGCCACGTGCAAATGGATGCACACACACGTGCAAATGGATGCACACACACGTGCAAAGGGATGCACACACGTGCACACACACCTGCATGCACATTGCTCCTCTGCTCACTCCCGCACTGCCCCCGTGCCCCCAAAGCAAAGGGGCTTTCGTCCCTCATTGCCCTCTCCCTGCCCCTCCCGGGCATCCCCACGTGCACAATCCCAGGCTCCTTCTCCCTTTCTGTCCCCGCAGCCCCCCCGCTCACCCCCACCTCCATCCCGCACCCCCTGGGCTGCTGCTCTCCCCCCGAAGCCGGCACAGCCGCAGCTCCGGGGACCCAGCGCCCTCCCCGGGGCTCCACGTCCAGCCGGCAGCTCCCACCAGGCACCCAGCACCGCAGCAGGACGGTCTTCTCCAGCCAGCAGTCGGAGGCTCTGGAGGAAGGTGCGGGCTCCCCAGGGGCAGCAGCTGAGCAATCAGCCCCTCAGGGCACTGGGGGGGTCACCCCAAGGCAGGGGCTGATTGCACCCCGGCCCCCTTGCAGAGTTTCGGAGGGGGCAGTACCCGGACACCGCCACCCGGGAGAGATTGGCCGCGGCCACCCAGCTGCCGGACACAACCATCAGGGTAGGAGCAGAGCCTGGGGGCCAGCACAGCCTGGTTGGAGCTGGGGCAGCCGGGGGGGTCCCCATCTTTGGCCCCCTCCTGGTCTGATGTCCCCCAACATGCGGGGACGTCTCCAAAGAGGCTCAGGCAGGGCAGCGCGCGTGTGCCAGAATGGAGAGGGGGGGGACCCCCACGAGCAGGTTTTGTCCCCTGCTTCTCCTGCCCTCTCCTGTCTGCTGGGGGCAAGGACGGGGTGCTGGGGGGGGGGGACACCCCCAGGCTGCTCCGTGGCAGCAGCCCCCGTGCCCTGGAGGGGCTCCCACACCAAGGGCTGGTGGCCCACCACCCAGCCGGCCCCGGGTAGAGCCCCAGATCCCCAGCACAGCGTGACCGAGGGAGGGGGCTCTGCCCAGAACCCACCCCAGGGGGATGGGGGGGGCGCAGCCTCACCCCCTCCCTCCTCTCCCAGGTCTGGTTCTCAAACAGAAGGGCCAAGTGGCGGCGGGAGGCCAAGCAGAGGCTGGAGGCCACCGGTGCAGGTGACAGCCCCGGGCGGAGGGGACAGGGACGGGACCCACACCCAAAACCCCGGGCAGGGGCTGGGGGCTGCCCTGGGGGGGAGCACGGCTGCATCCAGGGCTGGGGAGGGGGCACGGCTGCTCACTGTGCCCCCCAGGAACGGGAGACCCCAGCCCCAAAGCAGGGTCTCCACGCTGCCCTCCCGCTCTCCCCACGCAGGCTCCTGGTGCGACTGGATCCTGCCCCCCCCCGCCGTGACAGCCCCCATCTCTGCGCAGGTAGGAGGGGGTCCAGGCCTCTTCCTGCACCCCAGGGGGCTGGGACGTGCGGGAGAAGGGGGTCTCCAATGTGCCCCCCCCCAGGGGGGATGCTCCAGGAGCTGCCCCCGAGGGCGCGAGCCCCCCGCAGGGTGCCGTGCTCCTGCTGCAACCCAGAGCATCTCGGTGATGCCCCCCTCCCTGCTCCCCTCGCAGCACCTCCTGCCCACCCCCCCCAGCTCTCTGGAGACCCTCCATGGCCACAGCCACCGCCTCAGCACCTCCCCGGCCCCCCCGGCCCCGCTGCACCTCTGCGCCTCCAGCCCCTGGGATGACGCTCGCTGCGGTAAAAGGGCCACGGGGCAGGGGGTGCCGGGGGCTGGGACCCCCGGGCACGGCCAGGGAGGGAGCCCCCGGTGCCCTGCGGGGTCCCAGGGGCTTCAGGAGGGTGGGGGGAGCTGCTCCCCCTCCCTGCCTGGCCCCAGCCCCGTGGGGGGGTTGCAGTGGGGTGGGTGCCCCTGGCCCCACTGCCGGAGCCCCGTGTGCCGTCCCGCAGGCCTGGCCCCCGGTGGAAGCCCCCCTCCGGCTCCCTGGCAGCCCCTGGAGGGCCCCCCCTTCGCCCTGCTGCCCCCCCGAGCCCCCCTGCACCCCGCTGCTGCCTGCTGCGTGCCCGAGCCCCTCGCCCACCTCCACGCACCGCGGTGCCCCTGGCTCTGAGGGCGCACGGCGAGGTCGGGGGGGGGTCCGGCACGTGGCCCCCCCAGGCAGGGTCACCGCTGTGTCCCCAGCCACATCCCTCGCTCTGTTTCAAGCCTCTTGTCCCCTCCTGTCTGCAACACCAAAAATTAAGGTCAGAAAACCTCATTGCCCACACGTGAGGAGGGGGCGCCGGGTGCCCAAGCGCCCACCCCACCGTTGGGGAGACCCCAACCCTGCCTGGGGGGCACCGGCCCCAACACCCCCCTGCCCCCCTGGCAGCACGCCCCAGAGCTGGGGACATCATCCCGCAGGGCCTCGACCACAAAAAAAAAAAAAAAAAGACCAAAATTTAGTGTTAATTTGCATTGATTTGAAGAAGAGCTTGCACCAAAAATCCGTCCCGGAAAGCCCCGCGCTTCTGTCCCTTGTTCTAAATAAAAAGTTTGGTTTTTTTTTGTTTAGAAATCGAATTTAAAACAGCAGAGCCGGGATGCTCCCCAGCACGGGGCATCGTTTTATTTGAGGAAACAGCTCAGGGGTGGCCGCACGGGGACACTGCCCCGCTGTCACTGCCCCCAAGCCCCCCACAGCCCCTGGCCTGGGCAGGGGAAGGGCCCCTCTCTCCTGGGACACCTCTCAGCTAAAACTTAGTGCTTGATAAACAGGAAAAAATGATTTTTTGTAAGCAAAAAAAATGTTCTCCTGGGGGAGACATGGGGACACGGCCCTGGGAATGGAGCCTGCAGCGAGCACCCTGCTTGCCCTCCTTCCCCTGGGGTCCTGGAGCTGATGGGGACCTCGGTGTGGCCACAGGGACGCGTCCTGTCCCCTCCGGCCACCACGTCCCAGCACCTCCAGCCACACTGCTGGAGGAGAGGGGGCTCTGGAGGAGCCGGACCCCCTCCTGCAGGGGGGACGTGGGGACAGCAGCACCCAAAGGGGCCGAGGCAGGGCGAAGGAAAGGGCACGGAGGCTCCCAGGCTATAGGAGGTGGCAGCGGCTGGGTGCCAAAGTGCCACCCGCAGCCACCCCACTGCCACGGGTGGGCACCGCTCGGCTCAGCCTGAGGCTGCTGGTAAATGGGGCATTAAATTACTCATAGGGTTTGTTTTTTTGTTTTTTTTTTTTTTTGTTTGTTTGTTTGTTTTTTCCCAGCTCTCTGAGAGCAGGCTGGCTGCGCCACGCCACTGGGAGAGGGGTAGCACAGGTTGAAGCCCCTCTCCCCTGTGCCACTGCTCCAGGGCGATGGGGACAGCGCTGTCCCCAGTGCCAGCGGGGCTGGGGGAAGCCCAGCACCAGGAGCTGACGGGCAGGGCTGATCCAGCTGGGTCCTGGCTTCTCCTGACCCCTTTCTTAGCCCCGCAAGGATTTATCTGGCCGTGTGCCCCGCGTGGGGCAGGGTGGGTGTGAGCCGTGAGACCCTGCCAAGCTGCTGGTGATGCTGTGAGATGTGTCGTGCACGGCTGGATGCCTGCAACGGAGCCCACACTGCAAAAAACAAACACAAAGGGTAAAAACCTGGGGAATCTGGACAGCCTGGGACTGCTGTGGGAGCCGGTGGTGCCATGGGAACCCATAGACCCCAGCCCCAAGTGCGCTGCCCCAGTGCCACCCCGCAGGGACAGCGTGTCCCCAAAGGGACCAGCAGCGCACGGCTCGGCACGGGGAGCACCTTTCTGCAAGGCACACGGAGAGGACACACACAGCCCCCTGGCAGGGGGACACGCACACCCCTGCAGCCGTGTGGCAGTGCTGCTGGCAGCCCCCGGGGTGCTCCGTGCCCGGCGTCCTTCCCCTGGCAGCGGGGAGGCGGCGGCTGAGCGCACGCACGGCTCCGCTTCTGCCATCAGGCTTTGTGCAGCCCCACTAATTGCAACCCAATTAGCAGCCCTGCAGCACACGCCCCGAGGTGACCCTGAGTGCCAGCAGGAGGGCTTCCCTCCCAGTACAGCCCCAGTAGCAACGAGCAAACCACCAAACCTCTCCCGGTTTGGAGCACCCAGGCACCGGGGTGGCTATAGGATGGCTCAGGGGACAGCGGGACAGACCTGCAGAGCCTAAGCCCACCTCCTCTGTGTCCCAGCACGGTGCAGGTGAGGTTGAATTGAAGCCCAAATCCCCTTGCCCCAAGATGCTCATTGAAGACACGCGTGGAGAGCGGGGCTCCAAGGTGGCCCCGGAGGCAGCAGGGACGCGCCGGGCGCAGGGTACGAAGTGGCGGTGTTTAATTCCTCCACGTACAACAGCACGTTACGCAGCCGTACGCCCCCTCCCCGAGAGAACTACGCGGTTTGTGGAAGGACAAAAAGCAGGATCCTTCCTTTCCTGCAGCATCCATGCAGCCCGAGCCCCTCGCCCGGCCCCGCAGGCTCCCGGGGGGCCGCTCGCGGCACAGAGGCAGAGCTGCCTGAAGAGTCCTTGAGGCTCAAGTCCTACCAGATAAACACACAGAGACGAGGCCACGCTTGGGGGCAAAGGAAAAACACCCCCCCAAAAAGAAAAATAAGTAAAGGAACCCAAAGAGAACAGCAGCTGGGAGATGTCCCCGGCCCGTCTGCGCCCCACGCTGCGCCTAGCGCTTGGAGAGCTCGTGCGAGAGCCAGTCCAGCCCGTCGTAGAGCCCCGTGCCCTGGGTGGCACACGTCGCCTGCACGTACCACTGCAAAACAGAGGGAGAAGGGGAGGTGGCAGGCGGCCAGGCGGGGAACGGGCTCCTGGCCGCACACCCCGGGGTGTCCCCGAGGTCCCCCCCCGAGGTCCCCGCGCACTCACGGTCCTGCTGCGCAGCGCCTGCAGGCCCAGCTTGTCGGTCAGCTCGCTGACGGCCATGGCGTTGGGCATGTCCTGCTTGTTGGCAAACACCAGCAGCACGGCGTCCCGCAGCTCGTCCTCCTGCAGCTGCGGGGAGGTGGGGGCGGCTGAGCCAGGCACTGGGCCAGGAGGGCTCTGGATCCTCTGCCCCCCCCTTCCCCGTGTGCCCCCATCGCTGCCCGTTGGGCTCGGGGACCGCCGAGCTTCCAGCCCTGCGTCCCTGCACCCTGTGGCCTCCACGGGATCCCTGCAGCGTGGAAAACCCCAGGGTTTCTGCAGCATTGGGGGCATCGGTGTCCCCACAGCGGGGGGCTCCCGAGCCCTGCGCCCACGTCGTGCCCGCACAGGATGGTCCCGGGTGACAGAGGGCACTGCTCTGCTCCCAAATAAGCATCACTGCTGCGAACGTGCTAGGGTCAGGGCAGCCAGCTCTCAGGATTTTCCCAACAAAAGCAGAGCAAAGATCTGCCTCAAACAGAACGGGGCTCTGCAGACAAGGGGGAGCAGCCGGGGGGCACCGGGCTGTCCTCACACCCCGCTCCCAGGCTGCTGTGTGCCCTCTTCCCTCTTCCCACCCCAAGGATGCTCTGTGCCCAGAGAGACGAGGAGTGTGAGATCCCTGCCACCCTGACCAGATTTTGGATGTCGTCCCTGGCAGCTGCCTGCCCTCCCCGTGCGCACCGGGCTTCCCCGTGCCCCGCTCAGTGAGCAGGCACAAGGGGTGCTGGACACGGGCTCCTGCACCGCTGGTCTCAGTGCCTTATTAATTAGCCAGCAGAGCCCTGGCTAATTATAATTATAACACAACCCAGCACCTTCTTGACCATCTTCCCCTCTCCAAGTGGGAAAATGGTCCCTGTGCTTTGTCGCCGCCATTGGACCCATCCCCAGGGTGCGCACCCCGAGCCGGCAGCCCCGATTTGGGATTTGGGGAGAGCTCTTTTGGGGAGCAGCACCCCCCCCATGCCACTCACCATCTTCTGCAGCTCATCCGCAGACTCCTGCACCCTCTCCCGGTCGTTGCTGTCCACCACGAAGATGAGGCCCTGCAGGAGAGGCTGGGGTGCAGCGGGCAGCGGAGAGGACAGGGCCCCCCCAGCCCCCGGCCACGCGGAGCACCGTGGGGGTCAGCGCTGCCACATTTGCCCCATACCTGCTCCCCCCAGGGGTTTCTCCACCTCAGACCCTTTTTTCCCCATGGGGAATGCCCCCGTGGGCCCATCCCGATGACCGGGACTGTGGGGTCCCCGTGCCGTGCCCACGGCCACGCCGCGTACCTGCGTGTTCTGGAAGTAGTGCCGCCACAGGGGCCGGATCTTGTCCTGCCCACCCACGTCCCAAACCGTGAAGCAGATGTTCTTGTACTCCACCGTCTCCACGTTGAACCCTGCAGAGGTTTGGGTTGGGGGCACGGTGGGGAGGAGAGCAAGGGGGCACGGCCACGCGCCCCCCCAGGGAGCGCCTCCACCCGCAGCCGGCGCTGGTGCCGCGGGCTGGCTCCGAGAGGCACCCACAAAGGCTCTGCCCTCAGCCGAGCACCCCCGATCCCTAAAACACCCCCGATCCCTAAAGCACCCCCCAGCACGCCCACCTGGGCCCTGCTGGCTGCCCAGCAGCAGCAACACGGGATTGCCCCAGCCATTTCCCAAAAGCATCCCCTGGAGAACCCGTGTGGCACAGCGCAGCACAACGGGTGCTCACCCCCCCAAACCATGGCCAGCGGGGGCTGGGGGCACCCCAAGAACCCACCCGGTGCTGCCCCCGCTGCAGCCCGAGCTGTCAGCCCAGCACCACGTCCAGGTGGGTTTTGAAGACCCCCATGGGGGAGACCCCATAGGGGAGACCCCACAACCTCCCTGCGGCAGGGCTCCGGCCCCCGCCCGGCGCAGGAGGGGTCAGCGGGAGCCTCCTGGCCCCAGTTTGTGCCCAGTGCTCCTGGTCCTGGCACTGGGCTCCCCCCAAAAAAAGGGATTCCTATACACCGATGGGATGCCCCTGAGCCATCCCAGCTCTCCTCCCGTGGGAGATGTCCCAGCCCGAGTGCCTCCCCCTTGCCCCCCACGCCCCCAGGGTCTCCCTGGAGCTGCTCTCCAGCAGGACCCGGTGCTTGGGGTCGCTTCTCCCCAGAGGCAGTGTCCTCGTTGAGCTTCTGGGGGTTTCCCCTGCCCTATTCTCCCTGCCCAGCTACCCCAAAAGGCAGCATGACCCTCGGGTGAGGGATCACCAGGGGTGCTCCCTGCCCCATCACCCCGGCCACCACCATAGGACACCCCATCGGGGCACCCCACGGCACCAGCCCCAGCCTCCCAGCCCCAATGGCTCAGACGGGTCCCGATGCTCTCCACCAGCCCGGACGGGCAGGGACGGGCCACTGGGATCCCCATACTGGTGGCCACTGGTGGTATATTGGGGTGAGAGCCAAGATCCCACCCGCACAGCCTGTGGGGGATACTGGGAGGGCAGTGGTGGAGCACTGGGGTGGCCGGGGGCACGTCCTGCTCCTCGCCACCCTGGGGACACGGGGTGCCGGTGCCGGGTGCTCACCGATGGTGGGGATGGTGGTGACGATCTCGCCCAGTTTCAGCTTGTAGAGGATGGTGGTCTTACCAGCAGCGTCCAGCCCCACTGCAACGGAGAGGAGGCATCACCGGCACCAGCACCGCTCTGTGCCCCATCCCCATCCCAACCCCATCCCATCCTGTCCCTATCCCATTGCCAACCCCATCCCATCCCACCCCGTCTCAATCCCAATCCCATCCCACCCCATCCCTGTCCCAATCACAATCCCACCCTGTCCCCATCCCATCCCTATCCTGTTGCCATTCCCATCCCACCCTGTCCACATCCCCATCCCAATCTCAATCCCATCCCATCCCCATCCTTGTCCCCATCCCCATCCCATCTGTCTCCCTCCCAATCCCCATCCCCATCCCAATCCCATCCATCTCCATCCCAATCCCAATCCCATCCCATCCCCATCCTGTCCCTATCCCGTTGCCATCCCCATCCCATCCCAATCTCCATCGCAATCCCAATCCCACGCCATCCCCTCCTCATCCCCATCCCATCCCCATCCCCATCCCATCCCTGTCTCCATCCCAATCCCAATCCCACCTCATCTCATCCCTATCCCATTGCCATCCCAACCCAAATCCCAACCCCAATCCCACCCCATCCCCATCCTTGTCCCCATCCCATCCCCATCCCATCCCTGTCTCCATCCCAACCCCAATCCCACCCCATCCCCATCCCATTCCCCTCCCAGTCCCAATCCCAATCCCATCCTTGTCCCCATCCCATCCCCATCCCAATCCTAATCCCATTCCAACCCCCATCCGCATCCCCATCCCATTCCCATCCCAATCCCAATCCCATCCCCATCCTTGTCCCCATCCTATCCCTGTCTCCATCCCACCCTCTCCCCATCCCCATCCCAATCCCAACCCCAATCCCACCCCATCCCCATCCTTGTCCCCATCCCATCCCCATCCTACCCCTGTCTCCATCCCAATCCTAATCCCAATCCAACCCCCATCCCCATCCCATTCCCATCCCAATTCCAATCCCAATCCAACCCCCATCCCCATCCCATTCCCATCCCAATTCCAATCCCAATCCCATCCCCATCCCCATCCCCATCCTTGTCCCCATCCTATCCCTGTCTCCATCCCACCCTGTCCCCATCCCAATCCCAATCCCACCCCATCCCCATCCTTGTCCCCATCCCACTCTGTCCCCACCCCAATCCCAATCCTAATCCCATCCCCATCTCATCCCCATCCCATCCCCATCCCATCCCAATCCCACCCCCTCCCCGCCCCCTCCCCCGCTCCGGACCCCCACCCATGAGGATGCGCATCTGCTTCTTGCCGAAGATGCGGGAGAAGATGGCGGACACCGTCAGCCCCATGGCGGCGGCGGCGGGGCCGGGCCGGGCCGGGCCGGGTGGGGGCGGCCGCGCTGCGACCCCGCTCCCGGAGCTGCGCCGCGCCCCAGGCCCCGCCCCCAAGCTCCAAGCCCCGCCCCCTTGCTCCAAGCCCCGCCCACTCACCCCAAGCCCCGCCCACTCCCCACCCCTCCGCCTACTGAGCCCGTAGCGTTGGCCCCGCCCCCTTAACCCAGACCACGCCCCTCGACTCAGACCACGCCCCCTTCCCGATTAGCCCCGCCCACACTGCTTTAGCCCCGCCTCCCCGTGCCGGCCGCTGCCGACTCCTCCGTCCGCGGCTCCAGCAGCGCATGCGCAGTGTGCAGCCCGACCCGGCCGTCCAGCCGTGCGCATGCGCGGTGGGGGGGGGGGGGGGTGTCTTGCGCATGCGCTGTGCGCGGCGGCCCCGCGGCCCGGTGTGAGGTGAGGCCGGGGGGCGCTGAGGGGACCGGGGGGGTCCGGGGGGGAGCCGGGCGCTGAGCTCTGCCCCCAGGGGGCAGCGGAGGGGCCCGAGGGGGCGGCGTGGAACTGGGCCGGGGGGGGTCCGGGGGGTTCCGGGGGTGTGAGGGGGTTGGGGGGGGCACCGGGCCTGTCAGGGGGGCCCTGAGGGAAGGGCCTGGGCCTGGGGGGGGCTGGCGGGCCTGTCAGGGGGGCCCTGAGGGAAGGGCCTGGGCCTGGGGGGGGGCTGGGGGGGGCTCTGGGCCTGTCAGGGGGGGCCCTGAGGGAAGGGCCTGGGCCTGGGGGGGGTTGGGGGGGGCTCTGGGCCTGTCAGGGGGGGCCCTGAGGGAAGGGCCTGGGCCTGGGGGGGGCTCTGGGGCCCTAGGGGCTGGGGGCAGGGAGCCCCCAGGGCCCCTTCCAGCCTGGGGCGTTTTGGGAGCTCGGCTTTGAGCCCTGTGGCAGGGCTGCGCTGAGCCCCCCCCCCCAGCAGGGCTCTGGCACCCGCAGCCCCTTTGGGCCCTTTAAACAGGGTTTAAAAGTGCCCCTCAGGTGCCCGCGGTGCTGCTCTGGGGGGTGTGGGCACCGTGGTCCCAACCGGCCGCGTGCTGCTGGCCACAAATGTTCCGTTTTTTTCAGTCTTTGTGCTGTGTTTTTCCCTCCAGGTCGCGTGAAGAGTCATGGAGAAGTTTGGCATGAACTTCGGGGGCGGCCCGAGTAAGAAAGATCTTCTGGAGACCATCGAGTCGCAGAAGAAGCAGCTCCTTAATTACCAGGCGCGGCTGAAGGATGTGGTGATCGCCTACAAGAGCCTGATCAATGAGAAGGAAGCCTTGGAAGCCAGCCTGAAGGTGTTGTCCGCGTCTCACGAGGCAGATGTCGGCTTGAGCAGCGCTCAGCCCGCGTCCGTGGCTAGCTCCAGCTCTTCCTTTGCCGATTCCGCCGATGACAAGAGCTCGGTTCACAGCGAGGACAGCGTGGGGACAGCTACCAGCGCAGACACAGCCGCCAGTTTGGCCAGTACCAAGGGCGAGCAAGGGGCTGAGGATGAGAAGCCCGCAGCGGCAGCCTCCTCCCTTAAATCAGAGGAGACAAACGGTTCGGAGAGCGGCGTCAGCACGAGCAGCGGGGATGTTCCCCCTGCTGCTGCCGAGGCTGACAAAAGAGTGCTCCAGCTGAAGACCCAGCTGGCCACCCTGACCAGCGCGCTGTCAACAGTCACGCAGGAGAAATCCCGCATGGAAGCCTCGTACCAAGCGGACAAGAAGAAGATGAAGCAGGACCTGGATGACGCCATCAAGAAGGCGGAGGACGAGACCGACAAGCTGGAGACGGAGCTGAGGTCTGTCCAGGAGCAGCTGGCCGAGACCAAAGCCCGTCTGATCACGCAGCAGCACGACCGGGCCCAGGAGCAGAGCGACCACGCCGTCATGCTGCGGGAGCTGCAGAAGCTGCTGCAGAGCGAGCGGGCGCTGCGCCAGGACGCGGAGCTGAAGCTGGAGGAGACGAGGGAGGCGCTGGCCGGGAGGGTGAGCATGGCCGACCGAGCGGAGGGCTACGAGCTGCAGATCAGGCAGCTGAGCCAGGAGGTGGAAGACCTGAAGAGAGAGCTGCAGGCCGTGCAGGAGGAGAGGAAGAAGCCGGACCCCCGGGTGCAGGACCTGCAGGAGGAGATGGCCAGCCTGAAGAACCACTTCCAGTCGCAGCTGCTGCAGGAGATGCGGAAGGTAATTCCTGCTGCAGCCCAATTCCTGTGGGCAGCACCAGGAGCAGGGTTTGAGGCTGGAGGAGCTCAAATTCTCCTCCCCTGCCCCGTCCTGCAAAGTCCAGGAGGTTGGTAGCAGGGGAATGTCGCTGCTGTGTTTGCAGGATGAGGTTCCCTGAGGAAAATGAAAGCTGTCGGTGACTCGGTGCGCGAGTCGGGTGGTGGCTGCTGGGTCTGGTTACACAGTGACTGTCCTCGGCAGCCTCGTTCAGCTCTGGTGTGGCCAGGCTGGGAGGAGAGAGACCTTTGCTCTGGCCTGCCGTGACAACGAGCACGGTCTTGTCTCTGTAAAGTACTTCAGTGCAGTGCAAGGCACCCTTACAACAGCTCACAGAGGGAAATAACTGCTCAGTAACCCTCCCTAAATCGGGAGGATTAGGGAGAGAGCCAAGGGAATCGGCTTTCCCCTCATTTATGGTGCTGATGAGGGATTTCTGTGGGCTTCACAGCTTCTCTGACAAAGCCTGTCAGACCGCAGGGGTGCGGACGGGGCCGTGTGGAAGGAGCTGTGCAGCTGGTGGTCTGCATCTGCACAGGTGGGACCAGCACGGAGAGGTTTGGCCCAGGGGCTCCCCAGACCCACGCTGCTGAAGGCCCAGGGGTCTGGTGGAGCTTGGAGGGCTCAAGGGAAAGGAAAAAAGACAAATGCAGGGACCCTGTGTTTGGAACCGAGCAGTGAGGTGCATTAAAGCTTTAGGGCATGGGCACGTTTCAAAAAAACCCTGCAGCAGCTTGCGGCACGAGCCTGCTGCTTCCCACCCCCTGCACACCTACAGCAGCGCAGCTAATGCTGCTAACAGCAGCTCTGCAGAGCAGGGAACAGAACCAAGTTTATTTTATCATTTTATTTTGTCCTTGAATCTCCGTTTTAAAGGCAGGCACAGCAGGGCTGGGGGCTCACATAGGGAGTTAGGGCACGGAATGGCCCCGTGCCTGCTTGGAGGTCAGCAGGGCAGAACCAAGGCCCTGTATGGCTGCAGCCCTCGTCCTAGAGCTCCGAGATAACTTCCCCTGCCCTGTCTCTTTGCTCCCAGACTGCGCAGGCCGAGGAGCAGCTCCGGCAGCACGCCCAGATGGAGGAGCAGCGAGTGGCTGACCTGGAGGGGCAGGTGTCCGAGGTGTCGGGACTGCTCGGCACCTACGAGAAGGCCAAGCAGAAGGACCAGCTGGTCATTCAGAAGCTGAAGGACCGCATCGTGCAGCTGGACCAGGAGAACAAAACCCTGGCCATCGCCGCTTCCAGCCGCTCCCCGGTGGATGTCGGCGTAGAGGAAGCCAACCTGGATGTGAACGTCCTCAAGGACAAGATGGAGAAGCTGAAGAAGCTCCTGCAGGCGGCGGCGAAGAGGAGCCAGCCCGCCCTGGACATCGAGAAGCTGTGCGAGCTGGAGCTGCCGAAGGGCACTGAGGCTGCGGACGGCGAGAAGGCCACCGCTCTGTACTACCAGCAGGAGCTGAAGCAGCTGAAGGAGGAGTTTGAAAGGTACAAGATGAGGGCGCAGGTGGTTCTCAAGAACAAGTCCGTCAAAGACGTCAACCTGGCTAAAGAACTGGAGGAAGCTCAAGAGCAGCTGGCGGACCTGAAGGAGAAGTACGTCGTGCTCCAGCTGTCCGCGGAGGAGACGGAGAAGCAGCACCAGCTGGACGTGGAGGCCAGGAGGCAGGAGTTGTCCCACCTGCAGCAGCTTCACAGGCAGGAACTGGAGCGCTGCCAGCTGGACTACAGGGAACGGGCGCTGAAGCTGGAGGAGGAGATGCACAAGCAGCGGGACCGGGCGCTGGCGGTGCTGGCGGAAAAGGACCAAGAGCTGGAGCAGCTGAGAGCCATCGTGCTGCCTTACGCCGGGCTTCAGGGCTCCAAAACCTACGGGGCACCGGGTGCCGACGTTGCCGGCGCTGATTCAGCAGCCGAGGATTCCTCTGAGGTCCTCCCCCAGGCTCTGCACCTCTCTGCCAGCAACGAGCCCACCTTCTTCTTGTACGCGGAGCAGCTGGCTCGCAAGGAGGTGGAAATCGCAGCGCTGAGGAAGCAGAAGCACAAGCTGGAGATGGAAGTGCACCAGCTGCAGGAGAAAGTCCTGGCTGAGGGGGAGAAGCACCGGGAAGAGGTGACGGCGCTTCAGAACGAGATCCAGAAGAACTTCAGAGACAAGAGCAGGGAGGGGGCCAACCTGGAGTACCTCAAGAACATCGTCTACAGGTTCCTGACGCTGCCGGACTCTCTCGGGCGCCAGCAGACTCTAACTGCCATACTGACCATTCTGCATTTCAGCCCAGAAGAGAAGCAAACGATCAGGAAACAGTCGGCTTACAGCAGCTGGTGGCCCTCTGGGAAGAGATGAGGTGGTCGGTGCTACCCCCACCAGCTCTTGCCCAGTAACACGCTTCTGATTCCCAGTTAGGACCGGGGCAGCCTCTTCCCAGCTGTGCGAAGGAGCAGGGAGCTTCCAGCAAAGACCTGGGCTTAGCTGGTGCTGTTAGCACTGGTTTAAACAAATTGTGCCAACTGCTCTGGTGGGATCACAGTGCTCTCTGCTGTGAGGATTTGCTCTGAGGTGGAATTTGACTTAAAAAAAAATATATATATATACGGATGCTTTTATTTTTTTAACAAAAAAATCTCTACTTGTCAGGCGTAGGGTGAGGAGCTCTGTTAGGGTGGAACTCGCTTGGGTCTTGAAATGCTGTGCAGGCTTGTGACTCAAATTTAAAAAGGGGAAAAAAAAAAGCACTTAACGTGGTGGTAAAATCAAGGAAGCCAAGCTGAAAGCCTGCAGGAAGGATGAGTCTTAATTACCAGCAGCATCCAAATGCAGCAAATCTTGAGCAATTTCTCAAAACGTCTCATGACCTAGCACCAAATTTGTACCAGTGTCTGCAGCGGCCCCTCGTAGCGCTGGGGACCACCAGAGGACACTGCATGAAGCTGTTCTCTCGTTTCTGACCAGGAATCCTCTCTGTGCTGTTCGCTGTGTTTCCCAGCAGGATTTTCTAAGGACGCCTCGTGACTGCGGGGGGCACACGGTGCCAGCAGAAGGTGCTGTGTGCCGGGGCTGTTGGAGCTGAGAGCTCAGCCTGCTGACCCTGCCGGGGATGGGAACCAAGCAAGAGGCCGAAACAGGCAACGAGAAACCTTCAGCAGCCACCTTTGAACCCGTGGGAGTTTCACTGAGCTGCTGGGGCTCCGCGGATCTGTTTGGGGGCGAGGCGTCGCTCCTGCTGGGGTGGGAGAAGCCCGAGGAAGCGAGGGGCAGAAGGTGGCAGCTCTGGGATAGGTGTGAGTGGCCTCAGCAGTGAGGCTGTGCTTTGCTGCCTGGTCCTGGAGGTTCTTGCTTAACTTCTCCGCTGCTGGCTCCGAGCTGCGAGCCCTGGGTCGGTGGGGGGGGGTCTGCTGTGTGCCTTTTCCAGCTGGCTGCACAGGCAGAGCCTTTGTGGGGGGGGCCACGTCAGCCCCTCTGCCCTCCCTGCTGGGCTGGTTGGGAGCAGAGGGAGCAGCCGAGCAGCCGCCCTCCTCCAGGGGCAGGCTCTGTTCCCGGGGCTCTGCCCACCCTGTGGGGGGCCCGATGGATCCCTTGGGTGCTGGATCCACTAGAGGGCACCCCCCGGCCACCCAGGGATGGGGATGGGGCTCCGAAAAGCCAGACAAAAACCAAATCCAGGTGACATTTCGGCTGGAGCTGTGCCCCAGGGGGCCACAGCCTCTGGCTGCTGCAGCTCCTGGAGCCGCCTCACCTGTGGGGGCAAAATCACGCTGGAGGCTCGTTGTGGTGCACTCGCTTTGTTTTAATGAAAGCCTGGGTGCTGAAGCACAACTTCCCCGTCCCGGAGCACAGGAGATGTTTGTAATCATGGGCACCAGGCCTTGTTTAACAGTCCCCAGCCCGCTCACAAATCCCGGAGCTGAGCTAGCACCTCGCAGCTCCTCAGCAGAGGAAGGCAGAGCCTGGAGGGCCTCGTGGTTCACGGGCACGGGGCGTGCAGAGAGCTGTAGCAGCTCGCCAGGGCAGAGCCCTTTTTCCTTTCAGAGCCGTGCCAGCAGTCCTCGTCTCGGTAGCCAAGTTCCTGGAGCCCTCTCCACAGCTCCTGCCTCGCTGCTGGCGAGGAGCAGAGCTCCGCGGGCACCTCTCTGCCAACAACCCCCCGGTGCTAATTTCTCCTCTAAAATTCCTCAGGGAAAAATGCCCCAGGCAGAATCCGCAGCTGACCAAGGAGGTCTTGGAAGGGGGCACCCAAGCCAAGCAGGGAACAGCTCCTGCTGCAGGAAGGTGCCTCCGTGCCGGGGCCAGGCTGAGGCTGCATCCACGTGCTGCTCCGGTGGAGGTGGTGGGGTCAAAATCAGAGAGCTTGTTCCAGGGGTCTCAGGCTTTGAAGCAGTCGTTGGTCCTGCTGAGAGATGTCCCTTCTCCGGTCCCCGTTTGGTGAGATGGAAGCAGGAGGTGCCTGTGGGGCTGGGGGGGGGGCTTCTCAAACCTCATCCCGGTGGAGCAGGACCGCGACGGCTGAGGGCTGCGGCGCTTCTGCTGCCGCCACGCAGGGGGGCTAAGGGAGGGGGGGCCCAGCTCCCACTTTGCTGGTGCTTCCCTGGAGAACGCCTTGACCCCAAGGAGGTGCCAGGTGGTGGTGGTGTGGGGACGGCTGCCGAATGCAGCAGGACCAACTCTGCTGTGCCAGGAGCGCTGTGGGACGGCTCCTGCCTGCTCCTCCTGGGGCCAGGCTGGGCAGGAGGTGAAGGTGAGGAGGGGAACGGAGCAGGGTCCAGCTGGAGCCGTGCTGGGCTGTTGGGCAGCAGCTCCGGGAGCAGCAGCTCTGGGAGCTCAGCGCTGTCACCTCGGTGCAGCTCACACTGCGCGGTCCCTTCCTCTGTTCCCCCGTAGCCCCTCTCCTTCCCTCACACCTCCCCGCACATCCTTCCCTCTCCGTTCAGCCAATTCTCTCCCAAATAAACCTGAAATCTCTATATTTGAAGCAGGACTTGGCGTGCTGTTTGGTGAGCTGGGTGGGGGCGCACACCTTGCGGCACCGCAGCCTCCCTGTCCGCACCGGGCACCGCGGGGCTCGGCCGGGCCGTGGAGCTGCCGAGGCGCTGGGTGCACCCGCGGGCTCTTGCACACGCTGTGCTTGGACAGCCAGAAGTGACATGCCTCAGCTTGTCATCCTGAGCTGATCTCACTGCGGGCTCCTCAGAGCATCCCTGGAGGTGTCCGGGCGGCGCTGCGGGGGCTGCGAGCCCCCTGCTTTGCGATGGGGCCACACTGGGTGACAGCCCGCAATGGGCAGTGGCTGCAATCAAGCCTGAGCAAACGGAGCAGAGGAGGCTGGGCTGGCTGGGTGGTGGTCCTGGTCTGCACCCTTCTGTGAGAAACATTTTAAGTCTGGAGTTCCTTGTTGGGACCTGCTGGGCCTGGGAGGATCCTGTACGTGGGGGCTTCCCCTGCCAGAGCTTCCTTCTGCGAGCCACACGTGGGGCTGTGTGGGGGCTGCATCCTGCAGCGAGTGGCTGCCTGGCTCCCCATCCCCGCTCACCCCCGGTGCTCGTGGAGTAAAAGGTCTCGCTTCCAGGGCACGCTGGCACCATCAGGCCAGGCAGCCAGGCTGTGGGCTCACCTTGCACAGGGGGTGCCGTGCCTCAGTTTCCCCTTCTCCAGAAGTCATCCTGTGCCTGTAGCAGCAGCTGCGGGGATGCCCACACGTCCTTGTTCGCAGCAGGCTGAGCTGTGGGGATGTGCAGGGACAGAACGGGGCCGCGCTCACGCCTGCGCCCGCGGGAGCTGCCTCTCCTGCTCCGTTCCTGCTCCAGGTGCTCAAGGGGAGGCGCGAAGGCTCTGCCGCACGCCCGCCTGGGCTCCACGAGGGGCCGGTCCCCTCCCTGCTCGCAGGGCTTGCACGCAGCAGCCTGCACGTCGCCGGGGAAGTGCCCGCCGCCCCGGCTGGGCAGGTTCCTCCGGCCGCACCGTGCAGCCAGAGCCGCGGCCAGGTCCCACGGCCGGGCACAGGAGCGAGCCCAGGCGGCTGCGGGAGAGGCTCTGCTGCCAGCGCCACCCCCCCGGCTCCCAGTGTGTCCCCAGGCTGTGCCCGGTGGCAGAGAGGAGACCGAAGGACCTGGCTCGGAGCTGCCCGGCCATGGCCAACGAAGAGGAGCATCCGTCAGCGCTCTCAGACAAGCAGGTAAAGGCGTGCGGAAAGCTGCTGCCAAGCGCTGCAGCCCCTGCTCAGGCCTCGACACCTCCCTGCCTGGGGTCTTTCCTCTCACCAAAGATCTTGGGGGGGTTGGAGATGCATTGTGGGGCGCTGCAAAGGGCGATGGAAACTCGGGCTCCCCTGCAGCAAGGGGGCCAAGCCCATGCAGCCGAGGCCGGGCAGGTTGGCGCTCGCTGGAGCCGGCGTTTCCCGGAGCTGCCGCTCGGCTCCTCGCCGTGACTCAGCCGTGGTCCTGCCGGTTCCTCCACGGCAGCCCCACACCACGCAGCCTGGGAGCTGCTCTCAGCAGCACGGCCCCGAGCGGGACGCGGCTCCGCGGCACTCCCCAGCCCTGGGCGAGGGAAACCGGGCGCCGCCGCGGCGCGCTCTGCCGGCTGCGGGGTTTGTCCCTCGTGGGGCTGGCGGGCCACCAGCCACGGGCCAGCAATGACCGAGGGGCTCCAGCCCCGGGCATGGCCGTGAGCCACGGCGTGGGGAAGGCGCTGGTTTTGCCTCGCTCCTGGCTGCTCCCCAGTGGTGATGGTACCAGGCGGGGATGCCCGTGGGAGCGGGTCCGGCTGTGCCTGGGGCTCTGCGTCCTGAGCCTTGCCCCGCGTTCCTCTTGCTCTATCCTCTTGCAGGTCTTTGTGCTGACGTGCATCTACCTGCCGGCCCTGCTGCTCAGGTGGGTGCTGACCCCCCCAGCCCCTGTGGGCATCACTGGGGGGGGCAGCGTGAAGCTTCCCTGCACTCACACAACCTGCACACGGTGCCTTAGGGTGGGTTTTGGGGACGGCACCGTGCTCAGGCACCTGCAGCTGCCTCGGCCCCTGCACAAAAAGCTTCTGGCAATGGGGGGGGTGGGCAGGGGGTGCAGCCTGAGCTCCTCATGTCCTGGGTGTCATGGCTGGGACTCGTGGAGCTCTCCCACATGTGGCTGCTCCAACGGGGACGTTCACCACTGGCCCCATCTCTTCCAGCCTCGTGGGCAGTGCCTCAGTCCTCGCTGTCACCTCCCGGCGCAGGCGGTGCTGCCACATCCAGGTGTGTGCTGCGGGCCCGGGGATGTGTTTTGGCCCCCTCTAAGCCAAAGCAGAGCTGGGCCAGTACCGCTGCTGCTGGGCTTCAGGCACAGCAGGGCTGGAAGGGGCAGGGTTGTGGGACACCAGCACCGCAGCGGGCAGGAGCTGCTCCGAGCGCTGCTCAACACAGCCCTGGGAGGCACTGCCAGCCAGATCTAACACCGTGTCCTGGCTCCCAGCTTCGCCCCCTGTTCCTGCTGGCCCTGGCAGATTTCCTGGCTGCCGCCGTGCTGCTGAGCACAGCCACCATCCAGCTGCTGCCAGCCCCGCTCTTCATCCCGGCGTACGCCGCCTGCCCCTACGGACTGATGCTGGCCACGGTGAGTGGGGCAGCTCGCACACGACCAGGGCTAATGGGACCGGTGCACCTCCTCCTGTTCTGCTGGGAACAGAACAAGACCCCTCTGTGGGAGACCCCTCTGTGGGCTGGAGCATCCCTGGGGAAGTCCTGTGCGGGGAGGCATTGCTCCTACCAAGAGCTGTCTCCTCTTCCCCTTTGTCAGTCCCGAGCCACCACGGCGGTTTCCTTGGGGAAGCACAGCCGGCAGCCCCGGGGAGATCAGCACTGCAGCCCTCTCGTCATCCCCATGCCCTTCCTCCAGCCTGGGGTGGCAAACCCGGCACAGCCGTGCCTCGTGGGTACCCACGGGGACAGGACCAGGAGGGGCTCAGCACCCTGGGGGCAGCTCTGAGGGATGGGGGCCGGTGCCTTCGGGGCTCTGGGCTCAGCAGGAGCCTGTTTTCCTCTCTCAGACCTTCTATGCAGTCTCATTCCTGATGGTTGTGGTCTATGCGTACGAAGCCTACCGCGCCATCCACGGCTGGAGAGCGTGGCACGTGGCAGCTCTGCAGGTCAGTGTCCCCCAGATGTGGCACAGCCGGGCTGCGCCCTCCCCGTGCACGGCTGCTCCGGCCCCACAATGGCCTGGGAAGCAGCGTGGGCAGCCCCATTCCCTGGGGCATCGCTGGCATCCCCTGCACCCTGCCCGGTCCCAGCAGAGCAGGGCTGGAGCCTCGAGCTGCTGTGGGACCGGCAGGGCTGGGTCACGGCGGTTTCGTCCTTGCAGGAGAGGAGTGGGTGCCTGGAGAGCGCGTGGCGGGGTCTGCCCTACATCCTGGCCTGGTAGGTGCCAGCCACCGGCCCCATCCCTGCGGCACTGCCCTGCCCTGGGTGCCCAGCACGCCTTCACCTCCGCCTCTCCCTGCCAAGGCTGCTGCCGGCGCTGACGCTGCTGGGCCAGCTGATTGCCCGCGGCACCTCCCTGACCGACATCGCTCCCAAACCCATCCAGCCCAGCGTGCCGTCCAACCGCTCCAACGAGACCTACAGCCTGTACTGCTCCAGGTGCAGTACAAGGGGCCAAGAGCAGGCACCACGCAGGCACCACGCGCCTTCCCAGCTGGGTTGGGTGGGAAGGCTCCCACAGGGCAAACCTCAGGGTGGGGAAGGGTTTGGGGGTGGGAGACGGGATCAGAAAGTGCCACAGGGATGGTGCTGTGGCATCAGGAGCCCACCACCAGCACCCTCTGCTGTTTCAGCTGCCTGCTCCTCATCCGCCGTTCCCAGGATCTCTGCTACCAGGTGAGCGCTGCGGGTCCCGTCCCTTCCCCACCTGCAAGGGGGGGCTGGAAGGATGGCTGGGAAGGCAGCGGGTTCACGGTGCATGGGAAAATGCTGGAGGAGGGATGGGGACGGAGCTGTCCCCACCAGAGCAGAGGCAGAGGCGCAGCTCCCAGCTCCAGCACTGCCCCTGTGCCGGGGGCTTGCAGCATTTGGGGCTGCCCCACGGCCCCACTGTTTTCCCAGTTGCCTCTCAGTACGTAGGTAGGAAGGACGTGGGCCTGGAGGGGAAAATCATCTTCATCCTGTACCTGCTGCTGGTGCTCAGCTGCTGCACGGTGAGCGGCGGGGTGAGCACGGGGTCCCTGCACCCAGCACACCCCGGCTGACACCACTGCCCCGCGCCCAGCTCCTGTACCGCAGGGTGAAGCTCTGGAGCCGCAGGAACGCCGCCGCTCCCCTGCTGGCCCTGGAGAAGGACGGCTTCGCAGGCAGGAGCATCCGCAGCGTCAGCAGGGTCTCGCACTACTTCCAGCTGGTTTTCCTGCTCTGCTGGGCGCCAGGTAAGTCAGTGGGGGGGGGGGTCAGGCAGCCCCCCAGCACTGGCAGGCAAAAGCCACCGCAGCGCCTGCTCCAACCCTGCTGGTCCCGGGCTGAGGCAGCCCCCAGGGCCAAGAGATGAAGCTGGGATGGAATACGAGCACACAGCTCAAGGGTGTCCTCATGATGAGGAGGGGACCAAAAAACATCTTTTTTTTTTCTCACCCACAGCCTTCCTCCTCACCATCCTCTCCTTCACCAGCATCAAACCTGCCTCGGTCTTTGCCCTCTATGTTGCTACAGTAAGTAGAGCCCTTCCCTGGGCTGTGCACCGGGATGTTTATCCCTGTTGGTGGTGTAAGCGGAGGGGATGCGGGGGTCCCAATGGGGCAGCACAGTCAGGAGCTGGCCGCAGGGAAGCTGGGACAGGGGCCTGCAGTGATGCCCCCCCAGGGGCAGGGTGAGCTCCATGGGTGCTGCCACCCCCCCTGGTGCCACTGGGATGGACACAAGACAAAGGCCCTGGCTCGCTGGTGGCCACCCAAGGCCCAGCTCAGCTTTTTGGGCACCTCAGCCACACAAGGAAGCGCCGTGGCCATGGGGCTGCCTCTGGTCTCCCCATGTTTTGCTGGGCGATGTCTGGGGCCTCAGCTCCTGCTGGGTGCTTTGGTTCATGTGGCCTCACCATGAAGAAGGCCTTCTCCTCCCACCACATCGCCCTGCGTGCTGCTGAGCCCCGTTCCCCTCTGTCCTCTCCTCCCTCGCAGGCCCTGAGCACGTCCCTGCAGGGCTTCCTGCACAGCCTGGCCTACGGCTGGCTGAGACGAAATTTCCGCCGGGAGGCAGTGGGCCCGCGGCCCTCCCTGCAGCACCCCCGGGGCCTCCAGGGCTTCTACGACGAGTCCCTGGGGGCCCTCCCCTAGGGTGACACCCCCGGGGTCCCGCTGCGCCGAAGCCTCCGCACGATTTGCACATCCCCAGCGGCTCCCCGCAGCGGGGCAGGACCTCGTGGACCCCTCCGTGCCTGGAAATGGTCACGCAGCGAGTCACTGGCACGGGACAGGGTCCCCTGGGTGGGTTTCCAACCACGGTGGTGGCAGTGACGCTGCTGTGGTGGGACATCTGCCCAGAGACCCTGCCTGCAGCGTGCAGACATCGAACCCAGGCGCTGCACGAGAGCACGACCGCGGCTTCCTTCCTTCAGACACAAACCCCCCGGCACGGCGCTGCGCCGGGGCCACGGCTCCGCAGCCATTTCCTCCGCCTGCGCCGCTGCTGCCCCCGTCCCAAGGCAGCACCGAGCTGCTCCTGGTGCTCTCACGGCCCACTGCAGAGCCAAATGCTCCGAGCAGCAAGGGCTCAGCCCACAGAAGCTCCAGCGGTTTGCTATGGGGGGCTCGTGGGGTGAGGATGCACCCCGGTGCCGGGGGGAGGTTGGCAGCCCCCAGCCCTTCCACCGATGGCGACTAAACCGAGCAAGGTGGCGGGGCTTTCTTCTGTCTGTTCTCTTTGGGTTTGTCTCAGTGTTGCTCTTCCTGCCAGCAAGAAATCCCAAGTCCTCCGCAGGGCTCGAGAGAAGGTGCTTGTAAATAAATGTGTTACAGCTGAGGTGCTGCTGGGCTCTGCTGCTGCTGGATAAAAATTAAAGCAGGCAGAGCCGGGCAGCTCGCGCCTCCTTCCTGCCCCCATGGAAGGCTCTTGGCCAAGGTCATGTCTGCAGAGATGGAGGAGCCACGGCTGGGGCAGGTTCTGACCCCAAAGCCCAAAAATGCCTGCCAGGGCTGGGTCCCTCTGCTCCACAATCAGGTTGGCAGCTCGCCCTCTGCTAATTCTGGGGCTGATGCTGCTCAGCCACGCTCATCCCCGTGGTGTGGGGATGGGGGAAGCTGCTGCAAAGGGGAGGTGGGAGAAGAGATGGGGCAGCAGCTCCTGGACGCATCCTGCCTGCTGCCCAGTGACCACTGGGACTCCTCCAGGCAGGAGTGAAAGCAAGGATTTCGGGTCATTAAAAATTGATTCCAGCACCACAACGCAGATGGTGCTGGGGGAGGACTGGGGGATGAGGTTCCAGGCTCATACAGGAGGTGCACGAACCAGAGCAGAGCAGAAAGACCCGTTAGATGTAGCCCTGGTAGGACAGAGAACATGGTACTAATGTGTGTTTGTTGCAGGATATCTGACCTCCCTGGGAGGAACACAAAGCTAAACACAAACAGCTGGGGGGAATAACGCCTGTGAAGCTGCAGGTTGAGGTTGAGGTTGGCTAGGAGAAACAGGAACGAGCTCAGTGCTGGTGCTACAGGGCAGGCAAAAGCTCGGCCAGGAGAAATGGGAGCAAATGGGTGGGGGGAAGAGAGGCTGGGGCAGCGATGGGGAGGACGAGGCTGTGGTTGGGCTGACCTCAGCTCCCCCTCCTGCAGATCCCCAGAGCCAAGGAAGGGCTGGGAAAGAGAGGGGAGGCAGTGCAGGTAGAGAGGCAAGCGACGGGATTATGAACACCAGTGTGAGCCCTTCAGTAAAATGACACCGCTGTGAAAACAGAACAAGGCTGGGGCTGACCCATGGCCACAGCACATGGAGTGAGTCACAAGTGAACAGCAGCTAGCCAGGACTGACAAGAAGCCAAAAATCAATAAAGAAATAATCAATAAGAGGCGAAGAGCAGCGTCCAGGAGTGCTGCTCTCTCTGGAAGGAAAGCACGGCAGGGGCACCGCTGTAGAGAAACTGGATTCCAACACAAAAACATCTGAGACCCCAAAACAGGAGACAGCTTGGCGTAGGGTTTGGTTTTGTTTTTTTACTATTATTTATTATTTCCTACTATACATTAGTGCTTCGGTCCACCACAGTCACTGCAGAGCTATCGCACAGACACACGCACAACCTATGTCCAGGATGTACACTGTACAGCAGGGCTGCCACCAGGACCGTACAGGAGCCCGGTACCGGGGGGCAGCACGGCCGAGGCTCCTCGTTTGGATGCTCCAGGCAGGAAAAGGAGCAGCTGCCACTGATCCTGCACTGCCCACGCCGTGCTCCGCAGTGGGGAAATGCAGGAAGGATTCAGTCACCTCCAGGACCTACTGATAGCTCCCCAACCCTGAATTTGGGCTAGGAGGCAGTGCAGCAATGGGCAGGGATTGCTCGTGGAACAAAAACCCCAGATTCTTCCCCATAAGCACTCGGCACTGCCTGCAGGGTCCTGTGGCAGTTTGGGGCAGGTCTCAGCTGAAGTGCTGGATGCCCCTACGGTGTGGAAAGGTGTGCTCCAGAGCCTCCTACACAACACGAGTGCTTCAGGCTGCCAGACCCATCCTAAAACCCATTCCTTAGGCAAACATTCAGGCACTGGCCAAACTGGCAGATGGTGAAATGCAATTGCAGCAGCAGCAAAAATGGGACCGCCCTGGGGTTACGGTAAATCCATTTCCAAGGTAGCTGGCAGAAAGGCTGCGCTCGCAGGCAGGGGGCAACTACCTCCAGAACTCGCAGAGGAGCCTCAAAGCTTTCCTGTATTCAACCCAAAAGCACGTGCCTGTGTCTCTCTTCCCCAGGAGGTGAAAGCGAACAGAATGACCGAGCTGGAAGCTGGGCTGAAGCAAGAACAGACACAGCCAAGGAGGATGCTCCTCACCTGCCCTAAGCACAGGGCAGGCACACGCTTCTCACAGCCAGCCCTGCACGCTCACACGAGCACTGCTCCACGAGCTTCCACTTGGCAAGGGTGCCACAGGCTGTGAAGATCAGATTCTCCACCAGGTTTTATCAGCAAGTGGGCTGACCGCATCAGATAAAGCTGTGTTCAAGGCAGAGCTCCAGCACTCGTACCTTACCGCAGCACACAACCGTGACGCTTCCAAGCAGAATAAATTAACGTTTGGAGGCCAGCTCCTCTCGGTGGAGCTGCAGCAGCTATCCCATTCACACAGCACACATCCACCACCTCCAGAGAGCTCTGTTCCTTGCAGATGCACCAGACCTTCAAAAAAGCAGCAGCGTTGCACGTCCAGCAGTTCAGCCTCCCACTCCTATCACAGCTCTTGCTGGCGTGCGTCAGGCTGCTGAATGGGCAGCAAGGTTTTTTTTTCCACGTCATTTACACGTGGGGGACGAGCATCTCTCATTATCCGCAGGAGCTGTCCTGCAAACAACTCCCCCATACAGGGCTGGTCCTGCTTCTCCCAGGCTGGATGACGGCACTGAAATTTCGAGAGCCCAAGCCCTAGGCAAAGCTGGATGTGTATATATGGGCATATAAAAACATGTTCTGCACAGCCTATCAGCATGCTGCTGAAAGCCTGACTGTCGCTTTCTGACCTACTACCAGCCACACAGGGAACAGTTTTTCATCTGCAGGCCCCTAAATCCAGCTCCACGAGGCAGGATTAGACAGAATGGTGCACACAGTTCCCCACTGCTGCCACAGCTCTGATCCACGTGCTCGAAATCAGACAGGTTTGCGAGCAAGGTCCAGATCTGGCGACGTGGGCTGGATCAGGGAGGAATTTTCCTTTCCAAGTGCAAGTGCAGCTGCCCGCAGCACGGGAGGGCCCTTCCTTCTCCAACAGTCCCTTCGCCGTGCTCAGTGGTGGTGCAGCACTGCCTGGAGGTCCTCTGGCAAGGAGTTGATGACGGTGTCAATATAAAGGCCCACCCGCTGCAGAGTCTCCTCCTTCACAGGAAGGTGCTGGCACCTGGCTCTTACCTGCAGGAGGAGAGAGGAGAGAAACTGAGGGTTTATAAAACAGCTTCAGGTCCTCCTTCTGCCTTGCCACTGGCCAAGCAAACCTCCCACTGTCTCTTTAGCTGGGGTAAGAGAAAACAGACAGGAAACTGTCACCTGAATCTTAGGCTGATGAAAAGAAAAAGCTTTGAATCCTCTACTGCGTAACCACTAAGGTTTTATAACTGTCCCGTTTGCCAGTTCTCCAAATCAGGGAGCAAAGCAACAACCATGATCTATGTCCCTGGTCACTGCCTGACACAGAGACACAGAAAGGAACGAGCACAGGAGGAAAACCTACCAGCTTCTCCCGAAGTTTTAGCACCAGGTCTACAATCTCCACCTCGGACTTGTCCTTCATCCAGGCCACGATGTTCTAAAGAAAGAGAAGAACAGTTCCTTCAGGGACTTATCTTCTTTACAGTTTTTTTTCAAAGAGATCCCCCTAAGCAAAACCTGAAATAAAAGCGAGGAGGAGGTTTCTCATCCTCTCTCACAACTCTGCTCGCAGCACTTAAGTGAGCAAGACAGAGCTCTCCCCACTTTTCTGCCCACGACAGCATCAAGCTCTTGCCTGCAAGAGAAGAATCAAGGAAAGATGCAGCAATACGTAGACGGTGCCGGTTCCCCTCCTCCAGTCAGCACCACGAATCTTGTGCTGTGCTCAGAATTTACATCTATTTGCAAGAGTCAGGCCTGTTAAAAAAGGAGACAGCTTTGGCATCCCCACACCATGCTTGAGGACCTGCACTGCTGAACAGTGAAGCGAGCTGCTGCAGCTGGAGATGCACCCGGGTGGGATGCCAGAGCTCCTGGGACCATCCCAGCAGCTGCTCAGTTTAAGAGATTGCACCAGCAGCCACGGCTAAAATTCCTACCTATCTTCAACAGGCATTAAGGAAGCCAGCAACAGATGACGTTTCCAGTCTGGGACTCTGTTGGCTTGGGAAGGGCCTGATGAATGAAAAAATACTTGACAGAAGCAGCCAGGGCAGGATTTGCACTAGCTAACGAAGCGAGGGAGCTGGGCTGCTCAGATCCTCGTCCCCCACAAGTGCTGTTATCCCTCTGCTCGGAGGAACACGAGGCAGAACTGTGTGTCCCTCGGGCACAAAGCACTTGTCCCCACTCTGTCAGTGCAGAAGCATCAATAAACACCCAAGGAGCGCTCTCATCTCCCAGGTTTCAGGCCTGAGCAGTCTGGCACTGGTTTTAATACCTGCAGCTGGGACATACCGCTTCACAGATTGCCTCCAAATGAAGGGCTTCCAGCTTCTGGGTCATTTCCTTATGCCTCTGCCGGTACCAGCCATCAAAGTTGGGAGACTTGAAGAAACGCCTGCAGAAAGGGAGGTGACATTGAGAAGAGGGACAAGGCAGGGATCCAGAGAAGTATGCTGGGCCCAGATTTCCCTTCTTGCTGCAGCAGACACAGACTGTGAGAGGAAAAGACATTTTGATACACAGCGTCTTTAAGGATGTCAACCAATTATGAGCTGTTTCACCCTTTTCCTATCTCTTCCTTTCTTCTGTCATGCATTAACATGATACAACTGAGCAGCTTTAGCAGATTGTCACCAACAAGGGACAATCCTGCCAGTCCCAAACTCTCCTTTGCATCAGCTCAAGCCTGAGTGATTCAAGAAGTGGTGCTCCCTTCTGTAGCCTTAATTAGGACCACTTTTCCTGGGGAGTTATGCTAACTAGGATGGTTCAACCACGGGAAGGAATTCACATTCCTCTGCAGTACCTTGCTGAATTCCTCTCCTTTCCTGAGATTTAAAAGGTGTCAAACACTTGCTGGCACAGACCTGAGTCCCATATAATTAGCAATGAATGCCTCTCCCACATAAATAAGGTATCATCGAGGCTGTGTCAATGGATGTGTAATTTCTACCCCTCCAGTGCAGACCAGTAATAAACCTCTGTTTTTACTGATCTACACAGGAAAGCGAACAGGGGGCAGCATAATACCTGTTTTCATCTCGGAGTGTTATAGATTTTTAGATCAAATTCCAAGTGGGATTGAAAAGCTGCTAACAAAAACCCAAGGGTTGCGGCAGCAGAGAAAGAAAGTTTGAGATGCCAGAAGTGAGCTGGGCAACCAGCACGTCGTCAGCACATTCTTTGTAATTCTTGCAAAAACAGTGGGGATATCTTAGGTGCGGTATTTTAGCATTTCCCCCTATTAAGACTGGCACGTGTAGGATCTTCCTTCACGCTACTTCCTCGGGCTACCTCCAGAGAGCACTTTGTCAGCAGAACTCAGGTGTTGTTTGTTTCTTTTTGCAACTACAGGGACTGCTTTGCTCGTTGCACTCTCTCTCCCCAGCACAATGGAGTCCTAAAGCGAGCCAAGATCTCAAGATGCTGCTGTGGTACTGACAGATGTTTCTGTAATTAAGGGTTTGACTTAGGAACACAACAAATGCTGCACGCACAAAATCTCACACAGTTAGGAGCCCAGGAATACAAAAGCTTCTGCATGTACATCAGTTCCCAGCAAATCTCAACCAATTTATTGAAACAGCTTCTTGTTTGTTACTATTTTTCAAAATATTAGATATCCAAGATTAAATCTTACTGTCTGCCACTCCCACGCCGTAAGGAGTGGAAATGTTTGTTTCCTGCTGAATACATGAAAGCACAAAATGACAAAGACAAAACACATTAATCCATGCTTCTCGTCCTCTGCTCACTTTCTGGGCTTTTTTCCCATCTTCCAAACCCTTCTTGAACTCCAGCAGGCTCAGTGCTGTGCCCACTGCCCTGCGGAGCCTGTCCCAGTGCCCGACCACCCCTTGGTGAAGAACCTTCTCCTAACCCCCAGCCTGACCCTCCTCTGTTAGAGCTCCACACCATTCCCTCAAGGTCCTTTTGATGTCACCTCCTGTGGACACCCTGATAGTTTTATGCCCTTCTTACACTGTGGTGCCCCAAACTGCACGCAGTACTCAAGGTGAGACCACAGACGGCAGAGCAGAGTAGGACAGTCCCTTCCCTCGACCAGCTGGGTCTGATGCACCCCAGGATTTGGTTGGCCCTCCTGGCTGCCAGGGCACACTGGTGGCTCGTGTTCAACTTGTTATCAACCAGAACCCCCAGATACCTGATTTCTGAATTTTTCATACTCAAATTGTAACCAACTATCCTTTATGAAACAAGGGGTATACTCTACTGCATGCTCTTCTAAATTATACCCTGAAAAAAAGTGTTTTAATGTTCTAACAGCATTGCCAGCTTGCAGTAAGAATGAAGTGGCTGCTGTACAGCTGTACAAAAAGCTTATTTTGAATGCTGTACAAAAGTTTATGACAACGGCTGGGTGAGGACCTACAAGTCTTCCTGCCCCATCTGCCAAGGACCAGACACTTCAAAAAGATGTATTCCCTGGAGGGCAGTAAGTGACATAGCTGCTATCAGAGATGAGTCCCCTTCTTCCCCTTAAGCGAAGGACCTCGGTGTTCTTAGGTTCTTGAAGGTAGAGAGTTTTAGCTTCTAAACCTGCATCTGCTCATTTAATAGATTACTTGAAACACAGGACTGATTCTGCCTTGCTTTTCCTAACCACTATTTATCAATTCTTTATATGCACGAGTTTCTTAGGTGACCAGTTTCTGTCCTGAAATTTCCTTTTTGCTCCCAGTTCTAATTCAGGATTTGATGTTCATTATAATCTACACCAGCTGTTAAGGAGATAAGATAACGACCTACTAAACTCTTACCTGTAGAGGCCTAACCAGTCACCCTTAAGTACACAGGTAAGTTGGGGGCCAGCATGCTCAAGGGTCTTCATGAAATCATCTTGTCGGAAAGGGCGAATTTGTGGAGGATTCTGCACAATGGAAAGACAATAATACATGCACCCAAAAGAAAACGGGAAAATAAGGTCATTATTCGCAATAGAAGAGACTGCACAAGGCAGATTCAAAACTATGAGAACTAAAGACGCGTGAACATCTTAACCAGCCTTGCTAGCAAAATTTAAATTAGACTCACAATAGCTGAGCTTACTGCAAAACAGGAAGCATCTGTCCCAATGTTTGTTTCACTTTTTTTTTTTTTTAAAGGAGTAATAACCCTCTTCCTTCAATGAGGGAAGTTCACACCGTGTATCAGACTATGTGATCAGCATATGGCATAATTCTTCCCAATCCCTGCAGTCAAAAGAAAGCAGAAGAGACTGGAAAATTGAACTTACTTTCCATGGAGTAATGGCTCTCTGCAGGGGCATCAGACTTGCGATGTAGTGCTCCTAAGAAATACCAAAAAAAAAACCCTGATGTCACAACATTGCTTCTTGCATGGTCCCTGGCCATTATGGTCTTCTGCAGTGCATCAGAGGCACAATCACCAGCCTCTTACTCCGTTTTTGCTTTAGATCAGGTCAGATGGGGCCCTGGGCAACGATCTGGTGGGTGGCATCTCTGCTCCTGGCAGGGGGGTCGATGATGATCTTTAAGGTCCCTTCCAACCCAAACCATTCTATAATTCTGTGCCTTATGCTTGCATTTTACACGAGCCTACGTATTCCAGCTTGTTTCCCACCAAGGGTCGGGTCACAAAACTACATGCTGCCAGAATCCTAAACATGATGTGAGAAAAGGTCAGGTGGGAAGAAGCTGGCAGGAAGGACTGGAATCCTAGAAGATATTCTGTCATCTCATTTACTGCCTCCTAGGGTGATGTAGGAAAGAAAGTGAAGGAGCAAGACGTGCACCTGAATGGTCACCAAAAAAATATTAATGGCTTTCTAATGAGACTAGACAGGGAAAGCTCTGAAATAAAATATTTGTTAAAATCTGCCTTAGGACAGCAATGGCCATGCGGACAGGCCTCCTAAGCTGTACAGCAGAGCTTTGTGGAAGGGAGATTTTCACACAGGCACTAGGTTTGACTCCAGTATTATAGGGCAAGAGCAATGTTTTGGGCTCCTGCCTCTTCACTACGTGTCTGCTTTGACTACCAAATCACGGGGAAGGACTATGCCTGTATGGCAGGAAAAAACATCCTGTCTTCACACATCATGTGCAGCACATCCAACCTGCAGACTTGTACACTAATTACTGAAATTTGCAATCGAGAGAAATTTAATTTCTTACTATGAAGTGAAACATCTCTAGGGTGCCACATCCCGAATCTATTACAGGTGCTCAAATAGAGGTGAGTAAAAAAGGGCAAGTGCAAACTTGTCACTTAAGCAAGCATCTCCTGTTCACCCCCCTCACCTTTACACCACTCTGACAAGTCTCTGCTCAACTCACCAGGGGAATAATGAAGCTCTGGGTGAGCTCCAGGAGGTGACGCCTCAGAAGAGCACTCTGGACTTCAGACGGGCGTTTTCGCTGAATCCCCTGCAAGCACAAGCAGGGCGTTCACAAGGATGCTATGCTCTGTTATGCAGATAGATGCAGAATTTGCAAACTCTGCAGCTATGAGCAACCAGTCCAGAGCAGCCTGGAAAGCGTAGTGCCCAAAATACATCCTCCACTCCCTGGTTAAGGGTACCACTCGTGTTTCACTAGATGAATCTGCTTCTCCAGGCTCTTTTTGCCAATAAGGATTGTCCTCTCTTAGGATATCATTTGTGCCAGCATTTATTCCATGATATCAAGTGAAAAAAAAAATTAAAACTGGCCTGATAAATCTGTTCAAGTATACTTGACTAAATCATTACAAACTTAAATCAAACTGAAAAAAGCAGTCTGTTCCTTGCAGGATTTTGTCTGTTTAAACCGAGCTGTTAGCACAGTTTCCCCACAATGCCATAAAGAATTTGGAAGTGGTTGAATTGCTTACCTTTAGTAATCTTTTTATCAGAGTTTTATCTTTGTGAAGAAATGTTTTATAAGAAGTGTAGATTCCTAGATGGAAAGAAACAAAAACCACCATGTATGTAGAGAAGGCACCATTATACAGTGCAGGGATAACAGAACTGAATGTCCTAGCACAAATCATGGCAACTGTATCAGGGGGCTAATTACAAATATCATAAAAAATTAATTACAAAAAAAAAATAAAGTTGCTAAAGCAGCTAGCACTCACAGCAGGACTAAAGGACACTACACTGCCTGAAGGACCTTCTTACACTAAACTTATGGTGAGATAACTCACTGGAGCCAGCTTATGGCTAGGCCTGACCTGAACAGTTAGTTAACTGACAGTTCTGCATCTAAGTAAGCAAGTTCCTTTGTCTTCCACTGCATCTAAAAGGCAAATCTGATATATATAATAAAAATCTGATATATAAAATAAACCCAAGAAAATTCAAACCTGTTCTCTGAAACTAAAATATTTTATTCAAAGATTTTATACTGTCTTTTTCAATCTCAAAGATGCACGGTTTTTCTCTATTAGGTGGGGGATGCCATTACAGGGGGCTGTGTAGCAGATCAAGTGTAAGAACATCAAAGTGTCCATTTATTGCAATACAAAGAATAATGCATGCATTGTTCACATGCCTGCAAAGCCACTAAAATCCCTCATGTGGAAGCGTAAACAGAATTAAACCATGCCTGACAAGAGGACCTACCTGGTTTTGTGTCTAGAGTTTTTAGTTTAGTTAGCTTCTTCACCTTAACTTGCTTGGGCAGGTCTCCTGTGGAAGGATGTTAAATAATTAGTTCAGGTTCTGAATCTCCCCTCACAGCACAGCACTCATGAGACTTCACACTTGAGAACATTCAGTGCTACACTTATGCATCTGAAGCCACAACCTCCCTTAACTCCATCCTCAGATCAGCCTTCCTGTTTGCTAACTTTGGTGCTAAAAGTTTGGACCAGGAACGTGTTAAGGACACACAGCAAAAAATAAAAAATAAGTGGAAACCAACAAAAAAAAATAACCTCCCCATCTCCCTCCCTCCCAAAAACAAAACAAAACAGCTTTCTCAGCCTAGAGTGAAGCAGTTTTCTTGGCTTCGTAGACTCTACTTGGCTATGCAATTTTACCTTTCCTGACTAGAAAGACTCATTTTGTTAGTGCTTCAGAAAAAAAAAGGAAAAAAAAGCAAGTTATCATCTCAATGTCATACCTGACATTCTGAGCTCCCCGACCCGAAGGATGTGTGGCCAGTGCTGGAGTGTTTTGATGAAGAAGGGGTTTGTGACTCCCACGACGATGTTTGGCCTAGAAAGAAAGGAAAAAGTGCAGAACAACGCTACCCTCAGGTATCCTCCGCCTCCACCCAGACAGCGGTGAGTGGGCAGCAAGCACCTCCTGGCTACTTACGGAGCTTGAGTCCTGGTGGTGTACTCCTTAAATTCACTGTCGTGGATGGTAAAATAGGGCCGGTAGTCACAACAGTACCTCAGAGGGGCAAGACAGCTGTAACAACAGACAGAAGAGTTGCCATACAAACTTCACAGAGAAGGGATGTGTGTTTATATCAGGTTAATATCCTACAGCACTGTTTTGTCCTGCTAGAGGTAACACTGTGGAGGAGTTCCAGGCCTTTTTTTTTCTTTCTTCTAAAGAAGAGCTCATAGCTGGGTAGAGAAAGCAACTCAGGGCTATGAACCATCAAGTCTCTCAACACAGCAGACTCACTTTTAGTCTTTGCCATTAGTGGAATGTGAGTGAGGCTGTCTTACCATGCTACTTCTTGCCTTACTACGCTATTTCTTGTCATACAAACTTTCACAGACAAACTAAACCTAACACAACTGACTTGCCAGAAGAGCATATGTGAAAGAGAAAAACTGTCAGAACCTATTATTATAGTTATCTGTATCTCAGAATGCGAGCATTACCTGGTAAGAGCCATAACCATCTCTGAAGAAACTGTAGGGGATGGTGCCATTACAACAATTGGCTCTCCCAGTAACACCAGTTCCCATAACATCTGGATATGAATTAGCACTGGCTGGAAACACCTGTTAGTGAAAGGAAGAATGACAAACTCAGGTTAGAAAAGCAGTTCAGAAAAGGCCAGGTGCTATTCCTACATATAAGTGTAACCAGATGTGCCTCTGGGGCACATGAAATCTAGGACTGATTTCTAGTGTCCCACAACAGAATGTTTTGTGTCTTCACACCTGCTACAGCTCAACCATCTTACTCATGTTTAGGGAAACACTTGAAGCAATGTAAAGCAACTTGCAGCAGTATGTCCTTTGATCTAAGCAAAATAAAATACATGCTGATTGCAGCAGATGTCTGTCTATTAGAGCAGTACCTACAGTGCTGGAAGGTTTGTTTCAGATGCACAATGTGTATGCTTCAGGGCTTAAGCTGATCAGCATTTGAGGTCAAGAAAAGAAACCCTCCTCTAACCAGGACCCTGGGTGATGTGTTAAAGGCCATGCATACTGGCTTAGACACCGCACAGGTTCTGCAAGTCCAGCATTCTAAATGACACTCTGCAAAGCAATAATTTTTCATTCTTCATTTGATATCTTCATTATCCATATGACTTATAGGATACTCTGAGCAGGGAGTATGTAAAGCAGATGAAGAGAAGAGGGTTGTAGAGATAGTGACTCTCACCTGAAGAGGTCCAGTTCATGAATGCTTGGCAGAACCATTGGGGCTGGCAAGAGATTCTAAATGAGAAAGGAAAAAAATCCAAAATTGTTAGTAAGTGGAAGCACTCTGACTGAAATGCCATCTAATTTGACACATCAATCAAAGTAGCTCCTTCTACAATAAGCATAAGAAGAAGGGAACAAGATTAATGCTTGGAGATATGAGTCAGGGATAGATCTGGATTGGGCAGTCAAGCTCCAAGTGAATTTCCTTTCTTAGAAGAGAGCCAAGAATCCTTTCTTTGCAAGATGTTAAAGACTTCCCATGGCTGCGCCTTTGTTTTCTGGAGCTTCCTCTGGCTGAAGACAGAGCTCAAGATACAGATATGGGCAACAAGGGTTGGAAATAAAAGTACCAAAAGTTCAGAAGTGTGTAAAAGACAATAACATTATTAAATGGATAAAAAAAAGGAAAAGCTGAGATGAACAGGAAACAAAACCAAAGCTGAATCAAAGCAGTAAAGATGTTCTGACCGCAAAGACTACGAAATAACAAGGAAGACTAAGGCAGAGTCTCAAGAAAGCATGAGACCCATGCATTAATTCCAAGTGGGACTAGGTCCAAGAAGCCCCAGATTCTGCCCACCAGTGGCTTGTGTCATGCCACTCTTTGTCTTACCTCTTGATTGAACTGCTTCACTGGACTTGTTCCTGGCTTATCCACCCTGGATGGGATCCTCACCTAGATTACAGTTAAGAACAGACAGGTGAACCAGGAGATGGAATCAGTTAGCCGTGTTGCTTTCATCCCTAACAACCACGCTCATGAAAAGCTTTCTCAATTTTCAATTGCACTGAGGTTAGGCATAAAGGGAAAGAATCTAGAGTCAGCAGCAACTTTAACACCCAAAAGAAAAAGGAGTATGTGCTCCCCTTCCTAGTTTGTCCCATTCTGCTGCTGACTATCATCACCAACACATACCTGAATGACAACTCCCATCACTGGAAGGTTCAGAGTCTGTCCTGGCACAGGGGGCGGCCACTGATCAATCTCATTGCACACTGCAGGGACACAGACAAAGGAAGCAGTTGGCACTGAAGGTCAATACAGCTAATTCAGCTGGTCCTACGAGTTCTGCCAATTTACTTATCGCTCACTCCTAGTTCACGTGTCCCCTTGGCTACTTGCAAACAAACACTACATAAAATAATCGTGCAAGTTTAGGTCAGACACCGGACTTACGTCTGCACCACTGCTTCCAGTGCAGACCCAGCAGCACTACAGTGTTGACAAATCATGATTGAGTTGCACAGTGCAATAAAGGCCCAGACAGAGATGTAGCATTAGCAGTTTTTTCCCTCCTCGGGAATACATTGTACACAAAACTGACAGCATCATCCATTAGGATTGTCAGACATTTCCCATTAATGCATCCTTTACAGCTGTTTATAATTTTGACAAGCCAGCCGTTTGGATGAAAGTTTTTCCCTGCTGGAATTTGTTTCAGAACAAACTAATTGGGAACATTTCAGCTGTCTTTCAGGAACCTCCTGATAAAACCTCTGAAAGATTTCAATATGCAAACCATCCCTCCTAGATCTGACTGCTCACCTGCCTCCAGGCATGGCTCCAGCTTGTCAAAGTATTCTGGAGCAATCAGCTGCAGCAATGACTGGAACAAGTTCACATACGGAAGGCGTGACACCAGCACCAGAGACTGAAAAAGCAGTACATTTAGGAGTCAGAGACCCCCTGTTGAGACAATTTCTAGCACTGCATATACCTATACTGCTTACTAGAGGACTACACTTAAAAAACAACATCGATAACATGAAAGAACTCAAAAGCAGCACTTTTACTGGTAAAATTTTTGCTAGCTGAGCCAGCAGGCTTAGGGAGACGATAGATATCAAGGAGTTTCTTAACAAGTGATCACAGCTGGCAGCTTCTAGAATGGGGCCGCTGCAACCAAGATGGATGAGTTTGTGATCTAGCAAAAGATCAACTGTAGGAAAAATAGATTCAAAGAGATTTTAATAGATTAATTAAAATTAAAAATAAAAATAAATTGGCAATAGGTTCAAAGCTATGAAAACAACCATAGCAGACAGAGGAGTATCAAGGAGCAGGCAGCTGAAACTTAAATTATATATACAAATGAAACAAAGGGATGCTGGGGAAGAAGAAACAAAGTAATTCAAAATAATGCTAATTTGTCTCAAGCAATGACATTTGGGTTGTTACTTTGGCTTCTATTGCTTTTTATAAAATATATTTTGTTAAAAAAACACTTTTCAATTCAGTCTTGTTGGGGGAATTAATTACTCCACTGATAATTCTCCTCCTCTAATCATTAATGAATACATTATTTAGGATCCAGTGAATATATTTGCAACACTTAGCCAAACCCCTCCTTTCCAAGCCAGAGCTTTCCCATCTGAAATTAAAAAAGCCATCCAAGCATGGCAGTATACTTCACCGAAGAATTCTATGTGCCCCTTACTTTTGCAGGTCTACAAAAGAGCACATTCGCTCAAGTTATCAAATTTTCCCAATCCACCAACGTTTTGAGCAATCAGTCACAGAACGGCTTGGGTTGGAAGGGACCTTAGAGCTCATCTAGCTCCAACCCCCTGCCATGGGCAGGGATGCCACCCACTAGATCAGGTTGCCCAAAGCCCCGTCCAGCCTGGCCTTGAGCACCTCCAGGGATGGGGCATCCACAGCTTCTCTGGGCAGCCTGTGCCAGTGCCTCACCACCCTCACAGTGAAGAATTTCTTCCTAATGCCTAAAGTAAACCTATCCTCTTTTAAAGACTACCAAAAGAGTATGTATCTATGGAGAAAAATGAATCTTAAGATCAAAGTAAAGTATTTTCCTTCTCTGGAAGGAGTCTGAAATTCCACCCTGTCTCAGGTAGTTACCGTACCTATCTGCCTGAGTAATACGAAGCACTTTGCTTATTTACACTGAAATAAGCATGCTGGTTCTTATTAGTTTTTCCAGTGTCTGTGTTAAAGGAAATTGTGATACGAGGCAAGGTTCGTGAGGTAATAGCAGTGTCATTGCTGCTAGTTAGAAGCAATCCACCCAGCGGGCAATTCATTCCCAGATGGCTTCTAGGAAGGCTTCTAGAAAGACGAAAGATAACAAAATAAGATCAATAAGAGCAGGACTGAGGCACAACTGGCACAGACTGCAACAGCGAAGTGTACCCCCTCACTGTCCGTAACACTAGAGCACATACTGAGGGAAACGCTCGAGTACTTGGGGATCTCATGATTCAGGCAGCAGGTCACCACTCGTGACTAACACACCATGGTAACCCCAGCCAGGTTTGTTTGGGATTACACTTTCCACATATTCCTGCCCCCCGCGACCTTTGCTGCTTCCTGCAGAAAGCCGGTGGGTGTCACGTAGGAAGTGGTGCTATTTTACAGCTTGGGATGGGTGCTGCTTTACAGCCACGTACCAGCTGCGAGTAGCGAGCTATCTGGTTTCAGCACTCACCTTCTGAAAATAACCTCTCTTCATCGAGCTGTCCTTGACTTGCCTGAAGTATACGTAACCGAAGTAATGAGCCGACTCCCTCTGCAAGAGACCAACAGTGCTGTTATGTTCCTGCTAACAGCAGGAGGGGAGCCAGCCCCCCCGGAGCTCATCCTGGCACCCCAAGCTACCTCAGCTCTGCTCCCACTGTTTCCTTCGGCAGGCAGAGGACAGCGTTTTGCTGGACACGACACACCACCTCCCACGAGGAAATGTTCCCTACCAGACCCACTGTGCTCCTCCTAGCCAGGCATTTAAAGATAAACTTTGCTTCAGATGGAGGCTGCAGCTCAAAGCCAAATGATGCCTCATAGCATCCATGAAAACTATCAGATTGAACACAAATCCCAAAGTTTCAAGCACTTTCTGTCTTCTAGGCTCCCAGAGACATCAAGAAGGAAGGATAGCTATCAGTGCAAACACAAAGATCTTCCTTAATACCATTTTCCAACACACCACAGGCATCATGGTTTAAGGCACCTTTCTCTTTCCAAATGTTATTTTTCCACATCAGAATCCAGGACTTTGGAAGTTTTGCTTTCCATCTTAAAAGGCAGGTGGATTTGTAAGTGTCTGACAACCAACTGCTACAAAGCAGTAAAGATGCACACAAGCTGAACAATCTCTAAACCAGAGTTTCTGAAAAGAAACCCTCCTACTCCCCCTCTCAGACCAGCAATCCATTTCTTACCACGTATCACAAAAGGATCGATGTTAAAAGGCACATGCACAGGAAGAGTCATCTCACTTGACAGAAAGTAGAAAGCAGAAGAGGACAATTTGATCTGATGGCCATCTGCTCTACAAAAAGCAGCAGCAGTGCTGAGCACATCCCTCCTCCTGCATGAAGGGGGCAGATAACTCCCTGCTGGAAAAACCACAGCTAATAGACACTCCTGGTATTGATGCCTGGGTATGGTTAAACCAGCAGGCTCACAAAGCCAAAGCACACATATGTGCCATGACAGCTACACTGACAGTTTTTACATCCATCCATCCTGCAATAAATGCAAAGAAGTGTCCTCCCTCAACAAAACAGGTAACCATCTCTTACCATGGACAAGGACATTCTCGTCTTGCCTCACGATAACATGCAGAGGGAGCTGTGCACTGGTGGATGTCACCTGGGTCCCTCTAGCTCGACAGGGCCACTGCTCTAATCTGGGCTCCTCCCGGCTCAGCCCCATCGCTCAGAGGAGCTGCAATTCTCAGCATGGCCCTCTACACTTATTAATGTGAAAAGCTTTCAGCACAGGGATTTCTTTCTTCTTTTCTGACTATTCCCATGGCTCGGGAAAACAACCAGAGACGGGGAGTAATTTAGGCACGGAAAACAAATCCAAAGCGTATTCGGATTTTAAACCCCAAAGCACAGCTGTTTGCTTTGTGTAAGCAGAGCACATGAAATGCAACCAACCTGCAGGGTGAGGGGTGCTTCTCTGTTGTACTCGCCATCATCCTCGTAATGAGCGGTCCTCTGTCCCCCCGACTGGCGAAGGCGGAAGCTAAACTGGGTGTCCCCCAGGCCACCTGAGACAGGAGATCACAGACGATCAGGAAGAAGTTTCAGTAAGGGGAAAGCTGGAAATTGCTTAAGTCAGAAGCGCTGACAAAAACAGAGAGAAGAAACCCAGAAACAGAACAAAGTGGAGAGTAACGGGACTCTCAGGACCCCAAACCCACTGCAAGACAGGGGGAACCCGTCACTGGACACAAGAACTGGTACCATGAAGTTACACCTCGCCAGGTCATTGCCGGAAAATTTACAGACATCAGCCAGAATCATCTACCCCGAGTAGCTGCAGCTACCACCTCTTATCTTACATTGAAAAAAAACTATAAACGGCCTTACCCCAAGACCACACAAATGCTGATTTAAGCAACAACCCCCTGCAGTGGTTCTAGCAAGTGAGCTGCACAAGCACTGCAGGAGGGAACCTCCCAGGTTATACAATATTGCTCTCCCCTGCACCAAGAAAACAGCAGGGAAAAAAAAAAAAGGCATTAAATCCTCTGGAGGGGACAGGATGGGCAGGAGAACTTGGAGAGCTGAGTACTTACAAATAGGTGGGTTACGAGGAGAGCTAAACGTGCCAGAGCTCACTGAACAACCAAGGCTAAACACCCTATGGCACTACCAAGGGGCAAGGGATGTGCTCCCTTCCCACCACGAAGAGCACAGACTGTCATGCCCGTTACAAAGATATTACCAACAGAAAGGAATTGACTTTAATAAAAGGAACGTTTAGTCCGGGTGTTCACTAAGCTCTGAGAAACTAGCAAAAGTCCATCCTTAAAAACATTTACACTAAGCTGGGAAAAACTGTAGAAAACTAAGAGTCAGGAGTCAGTCCTTAAAAAAAGAGGTGTTTGTGTGAATTACCATATGTCCCATTGCCACCTTTCTGATCTATAAACACCAGCTTTGGGACTACTTCTGCTGTGAAAGCATCCTCTCCCCATTTATTTGTCTTCAGTGAACGCTTCAGTCAAACACAGAAATGCTGACAGAGTCGACAGCTGCAAACCTCAGGAAGCTTACCCTCCGTGACTGCTTTTTAATCTTTTTCTATGCATGGGTGAAGCATGAGCGTGCGGGATTATCAAGAAAATATCCTGTCACCCAGAGAGCAATCGGAATGACACTGAGCTCCCTGCTCAGGCTGCAGGGCTGGGCGCTGCGAGATGCAGCCCATCAGGCTCTGCTCCATGAGCTGATGACTCACTCTCTCCATGAGAACCCATTTCTTTCACAACAGCGACGAGCAGCCCGCAGGCGAGGCCAGCAGATGCCACCTACCTGAGTAGGAGTCCGGGAAGGACAAGTAGCAGATACTGGTCTTCTGCAACAAACAGGAAAAGACGGTGAGAAAACCGACCGCTGCTGCCCAGCATCTTTAAAAACAGGAAGGAAGGAGCTGTTACCTCTTTCTCTGTCAGTCGGAAGTCATAGGGGTACACCAGCTGCAAAAGGGATGAGAGGCAGAAAGTCAGGCACGCTGCTCCCCCACGCCAACAAACATTGCTGGTGTACAGCAAGTCACTCGTTCTCCCCAAAGGAACAGACCCTAGGAGCAGGTGCCCCTCCACATCACAACCTGACTGCACCTCACCCAGTGCCCTGAGCCTTTCACCGTCCGTATTTATCACGGCGGATTTGGAGGCAGACTGCAGAGCTTGGGTTTTACTTTGATTTTAACTTGAGAGTGCACAAACTGGTGAGGGCTCAGTGCTAGCGAGGGATAGCTCAGAGCACAAAGCCTCACGACCTGGCTGCTAACTCCTCTGTGCACGTTACTGATATGCAAACACCGGCTGCCTCTGGAGCAGGCAGGACAGGGCTGCTTCAACACCACTTGGAATTAATTCATGTGCATTCACTCCTCAAGCCTGGGAAGCATTAACCATAGGATCACAGAATAGTCACTATTAATATTCAGTTCTGACCTAAACATAAGCTCACAAATTGCCCCAAATCACGTCCTATACAGAAAGCTTTGAACTTTGTACATTCCTAATTGTTTGCAGAAAGGTCACTTTTTGTTTTGATTCTTTGATTCCTGCTAGAAAGTCACTTACAATACGCTAGAAATACCAAATATCCTGATAGGAGTGAGGAAAGCTGGCCTGCTGAGCTTCTGGGAGGTAAAAAAAAGATTTCACAATGAAGAAATGAGAAGACACAGAGTGGGAACAGAGTAAGAACGGCTTTGAAAGCGAAGTTGTGCATGCACGTGGTGAGAGGAGGACAGCAGACCAGCACGGGCACGGCACAGCGAGCTCGCTGTCCCCAAGGGCAGGGGAAAGGACACGGCGATAATCGAGAGGGAGCCGACAGCACCGGACAAAGGTTCTTGCTGCACGGCGAGATTAGGAAGCGACGTACCCTGCGTATATTAAGCAACACCAGGTCTGGTGGTAGGCACGGTTTGTATCCCAGCCTCCGGGGTGCAAACGCTTATTTATTTATATGAGAGTGGTCAGCTCGAGACTGCTGTGCACAGCGACCACGAACCAGCAAGTGCTCAGCAGAAGCTGGGAGGGATCCAGAGCTCTGCTTTAGCCTCATTGATCTGGGATCTGTTGTTAGAAAGACAAGCCGAGGTTTATTTCGTATGGCAAGAGGTAGGATCTGGCACAGACCTCGGGATTCATGCTTTGTCAGCATACCAGTGACAGCCGATCGGAGTAACACCCAATTTATCACCCAGCACTGCAGATAAAGAGATCTGCAAGAAGTTTAAAGTATCTAGTGCAGGATCCTGGCTTTGCATCTGAGCTGTGTGCATGCTGCTCATGCTGCTTCTGCATTTACTGTAACCCGTAAAAGAGAACTCAATGCAGGACTTCTCGGGTCAGGGTCGAGCACGGAGCTGCCCTCCATCCCCACCAGGACGTCTCAGCGAGGAGCAGGAGGGGTGAAAATGACGCAGCCACGGCCGTAGTGAGTTGCACGAGCCGCTTGGCAGAGGATGGGAACTGAAGTACGTACTTACAGCTCTGCAAAAGCAAACCACGCAGCGCTCACAGCACTTGCGGATGGGAAGTGCCGAAACTGCAGGTGGCTTTAAGCAAGCAGATGAGAAAGAAACCAGCGCTGAATGACTTGAAAAACGGAGATCTGCTATCAGGCTTCCGCAGCTCCCAGGCAGTAACTGTTTGAGGTCAGCAGCAGTCATCCAGTGCCCAGATCAGCAGCTCTGCTCCGTGCCCAGCCGCTCGCGGGGCTGGAAATCCCCAGGGCCCCCCACCAGAGCACGGCGAGCTCTCCAGCTGCCTCACTCAGCTCTCAGCGCTCCCCTCGGATTCTCGGGCAAAGGCAGCTAACCAGCTTCAGAGAGAGCACCGAATTAACAATTAAAAATTGTGCTGATCAGCCTTCGGTTAAAGCTTCACAGGACGAAGAGAGCTGGAGGAAGGGGTGCGCTGCAGCTACACCACGGGAGCCGACACCTCTCCACTGCTGTGTTTTTGCATTCGACCAAATTCTTGTGGTTGTGACTAATTCGATGATCATACGTTTATTTTGTTCATTCCCCTATAGTAGCAACCACACGAGACCTGCACGTCCGACCCCGACGCATCAAGGAGTGCAGGATCTCGCAGCATCCTCCTGTCCCTAACGCTTGCTTGTGATCTGAAACTCCAGTCTGAAGAGCCAGGGCAGACTTCTGATCCTCACACTGCCTTTTCTGGGACGCCCTTCTGCAACTCGATCAGACCAGGTGGATGCTGATGGCTCCACGCTGCTTTGTTAGGATATTTTGGGCCCAAGCTTGAGATTTGCTGAGCGTGTGTTTCACTCAGATGCGTGCTCAGCGTTATGGAAAAAACTAACTCAGGTCCAAATGCTGTCTGAGCACAGAGACACTGATGGATCCCAACGTTCAGATACCGTGTTTCTGAAAACCAGGCTTCATCTTCTGCATTTCTGCTTCCCCTTCAGGTCAACTCTCTGACGTGTGCCCTCTGTTTGGTGTGGGGGAAATCACTCAATAATGACAAGGCTAAAGAAACAACCTAAAATATTAAGTATCCTAGTCACTAGAAGATTTCAAAAGCAAGAAGACAGCAAACAAAAACACTTTTATTTGTGTCAGTCACTGGATATTACAGAAGTAGCCCAAAAGGGCTTAAATTACATCATTTTTTGGCGATGTGGCTCCCTCCCATCAGTAGTGAGTTAACGAGAGTGGAGGTGCCACACGCTGTTGAACAGAGCCTGAGCACTAAAGCGTTGCTGTTGGTGCCTGCAGCTGTCATAGCAACGAGGAGAATATCCCAGAAAATGACTTCTGGTGACTGAAGCAACACAGCTTCAGAGCAACAAAGTGCCTGTGTCTGGAAAAGCCGGGGAGGGAGGAGTCAGCGCTGCCGCGCTGGGGATGTTTTGGGAGCTGGGGATGTTTTGGGAGCAGGGGATGTTTTGGGAGCAGGGGATGTGTTTTTGGCATGACGCAGCCCGTTCTGAGGGATCCCCTCAGAAACACATCCTCTCTCCCACCGCTGCTTTCACTGCCTGGAACCCACTGCTTGAAGAAAGGTAAACTGGTGGATGAGTCAGGACCAGTAATTACACCCCATTTCTGCATTAACCTATGCTTTTTGTGACACCTGTGCTGCCGTGTAAATATAGAGCAGAGGAGTTGGGACCCGCTGGATCTCAGGGTGATGGATCTACACTTGCACGAGTCGGGCGATGTTTGGAGACCTGGGCAGACCCCGAAGGAGCTCCTGGAGCAGGGGCAGCTCTGTCGTTCCTGGCGGCGCTGCTGAAGGACACACAGCACACACACAGCGGGCTCCAGCAGCCTGGCTTCCACTTCGATTTGGGCAGCGAAGGAAGAAGAGATCCTTTATCTGGAAACAATGCTGCACTCAGGGAAAAATAACCTCCCGAAAGATGACAAAACCCAGTTTGTTTGGGTCCCGGTCAGGGTTTCTTCCGGTGAGGTTTCCAGCAGATGCGTTTTATGAATTTACAAAGGCTTCTTTGCAGAATAATTCAATATGATTGCACCATGAGCAGCTGAGAAATCCCAACGCTTGGAATTAACGCACCCAGGGCACCCACGGGGTACTGAAAAGAACAATCCTGGTAAGGCTTTATACAGAGGGAGAAGCACCAGAGACCCCAGGGGGGGGACAAGGCCTGCACCAATTTCCATTCCAGCAGGCCGAGGAGAAGGAAAGCAAAGCCACGCGTTATGAAGCCTCCAGCTCTGCCCAATTTTTGGCAGGAAAGGGGCACCGCCACCTTATTGCACACCACAGAAGGGAGCAATCCTCAGTTGTGTCCCCACGGGGCGCAGACCTGCGGGTCTCAGCAGACCCCGACCAGGACAGCGTGCTCCCCCAGCCGTCCCCCAGCCCCAGGACCACCCTTCCACGCGTGCCTCTCCCCACACAGATTTGCTGAGAGGATGCAAGCCTGCGGTGCCACTCCAGAAGGCTTGAGGCTGCCCTTCCTTCCCCCTCGCTTCGCCACGAGCACGTTAGGCACTGCAATTTACCCCGAATACCCCATGGCAAGGCTCCCTGCGAACTCCGCCAGGACCAAAGTCCCACGGGGCAGGGTGCCACGAGCATTGTTCCAACTCTTTTTTTTTTTTTTAAGCCCAAAAACTTGCAGTCAAAAGCCCGACTCGTGACACGGCCTCTTCACAGCTGCAGGAGTCGGCACGCCTGAGGACAGGGCACAGGACCTGGACCTTATCTAAAACAACCCAAAGCCATGGAGAGAAATAGGGAACAGGCAGAGAGATGGTGACATTGCCTGGTGGGGACTGTCCCCTCCTTGTGACGGGTGAGAAAATGGGGAAGAAAGCACCGTTATGGTAATTATCACAGCACACCTATGGAGCAGCAAAGTGCAAATGCTCACTAATAACCCAATATTTATGTCCTTTGAAGGGTGTTTCAGCTCTGGCCCCCCAGGAAAGCGCAGAGGGCTCGTGAATTGGGTCTGCACCTCGTGAATTGGGTCTGCACCAGGTATTTTTGTTTCCACCAGGTATTTTTGTGGGTATTTTGAAGGAACCTGACCCCCCCCGTGCTGCCCATCACCGGCCCTGCCCCCCCCTTACATAACGGGCCCCGGGGCCTGCACCCACACCGGGGGCCCGGCACCCCCAGCCCCCGCCTCAGCTCCCCCGGGGCCGTTCCCAGACGCGATCCCCGTTCTGGGGCAAATCTCCCCAAAAACCGGCTCCCGGTTCTAACCCCCCCCCTTTTCCCCGCAGCCGCCCCCACGGCACCTCCATGGCCTGTCCCAGCTCCAGGTCGAAGGTGACGACGCACACGCACTCGAGCCAGGCGGAGAAGCGGGCCCAGGGCAGCGGCGAGGCGGCGGCGGCGGCGGCGGAGCGGGGCCGGGGCCGGGCCCGGCTCAGCGCGTCCATGGCAGCGCCCGCTCCGCCGCCCCGCCCCCTACCGGCCAGGCCACGCCCCTCTACCGGGGAGGCCCCGCCCACCGGCCCCGCCCCGCCCCGCCGCGCCCCCCGGTGGTGCGGAGGCCTCCCCCCCCCCCCCGGTGTCATGGCGGCCGTTGCCATGGAGCCGGGCGGAGCCGCGCCTCAGCCCCGGGCCCTGCCAGGCCGCGGAGGGAGGCAGGGGGAGGCCGGGGGCGGCTCGGAGGCTGAGCGGGGCTCGCTTGGGTCGGGCTGAGGGCACGGAGCTGCTCCCCGCCGCCTCAGGGGTGGCAGGAGGGTGATGTGCTGCCCCAGGAGCTGGCGGCCTCTTCCCACAGTGTCACAGAATCACAAAACATCTGGGTTGGAAGAAATCTCCAAGATCACCCAGTCCAACCTCTGAGCTAACACTGACCAGTCCGCCACTAACCCACATATCCTAAATATATAACCTAAATATCTTGTGAAAACCTCCAGGGATGGGGACTCCACCACCTCCCTGGGCAGCCCATTCCAGTGCCTCACAACCCTTTGGGAACAAGTTCTTCCTAATATCCAACCTATAGGTAATATCCTGTGGTGTATAACCTAATATCCAACCTATAGGTAACATCCTGTGGTGTATAACCTAATATCCAACCTATAGGTAATATTCTGTGGTGTATAACCTAATATCCAACCTATAGGTAATATCCTGTGGTGTATAACCTAATATCCAACCTATAGGCAATATTCTGTGGTGTATAACCTAATATCCAACCTATAGGTAACATCCTGTGGTGTATAACCTAATATCCAACCGAGGTAGCAGTAACCTCAGCCCTAACATGATCTGTGTGTGCTTGGCAGTAAAGCCTCTTTATTGGGCTTTTAATTTTTGGAAAAAAGATGTGCACATTCCTGGCTGCTTTCTTGACAAACTGCGTCATGACCAAAAGGTGCATTGGGGTAATTCTGGAAAAAAACAATCGACTTTTCAGATTTAGCTGGTTTCAGAGGAGAACCTGGCCTATGCACCACAGCTTTGAATAAAGTGGGGGTATCCTCTTGCCCCTGCAGATGAATTTGTGTCCTTTCTTTTGGTTGTGCCCTGTATACACATAAATTCATAACTCGTTTTAGGACTCCAATACCTGCCTGTCTTGCAATACAACTCCTGGAAATTCCAGCTGTGAAGGGATGACTAGAGATCTTGGACCTGTCCTGGCTCGGGGCCTCTCATTGATTCCTGTTTGGATTAAAGGTGTGTCTTTCAATATTAATTTAAGTCTTTCAGCTATTGTTTTCACACTTCTCAGATGTTATAAGTACTTTCATTACCATTTTTATTCACAGTAAATTTTCTGATGCTTGGCAAGCCAGGAGTAATGCGTGTGCAGCTGCGGTGAAGTCAGCTGTATAGGACCTCTTGGTAATAAGATCAAAGGTGGTTTTTATTATGGGACAAAGGACAACAGGCCAAAAAAATGTCCAGTATTTTTTATAATGGCTATTATTTATTTATTTATTTTGTATTCTCATCATGCCTCCTTTCTGGCAAGAATCAGCTGCAAGGTTGTTTTGTCTCTGCTTTTCTTTGATAATTTATCCTACATACTAAGCAAGGAAGAAAAACGTAATGGGGTTTTCTGAGATTGTAAATAGGACCTGGCTCTTGTGCTGGACTTCTGTGGAGACCTCACCAACACTTCATATGATTGTGCTGATGAAATTGGTTGATCAGGGAAGTCTTCAGCAACACGAAGACCAAAGAGCTTGTATGCCTTGTGACAGTTAGAGGACTACGTGACACTACACTTTAGGGCTATGAAGTTGGTGAAGGTCCTGGAACACAAGTCTTAGAAGTGGCCGAAGGAACTGGGGCTGTTTAGTCTGGAGCAGAGGCGGCTCAGGAGAGAGCTCTCTCCTTAATTGCTCTCTCCAACTACCTGAAAGGAAGGTGTGGGGAGCTGGGGGTCGGCCTCTTCTCACAGATAACTAGTGACAGGACCAGAGGGAATGGCCTCGAGTTGTGCCAGGGGAGGTTCAGGTTGGAAATGAAGAGACATTTCTGCTCAGAAAGAGTGGTCAGGCATTGGGACGGGTTGCCCAGGGAGGTGGTGGAGTCACCGTCCCTGGGGGTGTTCAAGGAGAGGCTGGTTGTGGTGCTTGGGGACATGGTTTGGTGGTGACAGTGGTCGTAGAGGGACAGATGGACCAGATGATCTTGAAGGTCTTTTCCAACCTTAATGATTCCATGATTCTATGATACACGTAACATTAATATCAAACAAGTAATGCAGCGTATCATAACATACATTCTTTAGGTACAGTATGCTGAGAGCCTATAATAAACAATATTACTAACAGGTAATATAAAAATCCATTTTTTGTATTGGTTTAGCACCTCTGCACCCAAGTAATGGGCCATAGCTACATTTAGCAAGGTGCAATGCAAACTGGACGGAGAGATTACAGGGTTTAAGCATGAAGAAGCAGCACGTCAAGGTAAACAAAGAAGGAAAAAAAAAAAAAAGCACCAATAAGATGATGCTGGTTAGCACAATATGTGATGGTCCTACCACATCATTAGCCTAACCACAGTATTACTGCATTGCATTATGTTATGGTTTGGAAAACAGTTTATGACCACGTGTAGCTGCTGTGTCATAGCACACACAGGATATCTGAGGGAAGGCCTGGCATTTGATCTTTACTTTGATATCTCATGACAATTTACACAAACTGAGGATGTGCCCCAGAGTACTTTAGGCTTTATGTTGTCTAAACACGGAGCTTTTACAATTAATTTCCTCGGCTTGACGTGAAACGAAAACACAGAAGACTTAAAACAATGACGTGTATCTGGCTCTGTAGCCCTTTGCAAGGAGTAGGGAGAGTGCTGGTCCTGTGCTCCTCAGGACTCCTGCAGAGAAAGCTACAAAGTGGTATTTTCTCAGCAAAAATTTGATCTATTCAGCCTCTGAGGGCTGGGCCTTTTGAGCTTTCGGTCTCTACAAAACATCTAATCGCAGGCCCATAATTTCTAGCCTTTTAAGCACCTATATGCTGCTGGACCATATTTGGGCAATAAAGGTTCTGCAGAACTTGAGAACACTGCAGATCCGATCCTCCCCAAAGCTCTGGCCCCGCTGGAGATACTGTGCTGCGCAGAGCCAGCATGTAGTTTTTGCACGGCTCCTAAGCAACCTGAGTAAATAGAACATTTCGCAACCTTAACCACAGCGGTTGCTACACTTTCATCTATAATTATCTTTTGCATCAGAGCTCTCAGGAGCACCGGCCTACCAGATTTTGCAGGATATTTTGCATTCGGCTTCAATTTGTCTGCCTTTTCTCTTGCATTGCCAGTCAGGATAATATTCCCCAGACAAAAGAAGAAACATAAATACCCTGCAGACTAGAGGAACGTGCAATATGCTGTAAGCCAAGAAATGTTAGCTCGCCAGTCTCACTTCTGATTGCTGTTTATATTCTCTGCACTTCAGAGCTTTGTTATTTGAACGAGGCCTTATAACTTGCCCCAAAAGGCAGCCAGATATAATTCTCGGTGTTTGGAAAGCCTAACACACAAATTATGTTTAGGAAAAGAACTTATGACTCCAGCAGAACGTAACTGAGACTTCTCCCCTCCTCCCTTCAGTGTTTTTCAGAATTCGTGTCAGAACTGTAGCTTGGCAATCCTGATCCAATGTCTGTTCTAACCACTACATCACGCTTCCTTTCACAGCCAGGAACGGAGCCCAGCATTCCTGATCGTCGACCTCCTGTTGCTGGTTGTGCAGCATCCTAGCAAAATGCGTGCGGAATCGCGCTCCAGGTGCGAACCGTCAGTGAGGCCCCAGCTCATCCTCCAGCTCCAGGCTGGGGAACTGTGCTGAGGGTCTGGAGCCCATAATACTCACTGTGCTGTGGGTCTGAAGACAAAAGTATCCGTAGTCTGCCAAAGTCTCTGTGGCCATGATCTTTGGATTTCTGACAAAAATTCCGTGTCTTTTACACTTTTTTATTAAGCCTCAAATTCCCAAATAAAACTCACTTAGAACAAGGTTCAGTGCTTCAAAGAAAGAACCAAACAAGCCATGCTATCCAGTAGTACAGCGAGTCACACCACAAAACAACGTGTAATATGTCCTGGCGGCTTGATGTGCAAATCAGTTATTTGAGTTAAACAGTGGCAGCTTTTCAAGTTCGGGGGTGAAAGCTAACAACATAGTTTTAGCTGATTTTGTACAGATGTGGAATACATCCTCAATGCGTAGCTAAAAAAGTGAGGCAGTATTCACCAGACTTGTCCAATGACTACAGGTTTGCATACGGGACGAAAGTGCAATTATGCATGCTAATTGTTGGGGTGCGAGCCCGACGAAGGCAGGGCTAACCGCCAGGACAGGACACGGTGGCAGAGCCTGCGGCCGTGGCTCCAGGTGCAGTTCTGCAGTGCAGGCAATGAAGCGACAGCGACCGACGGTCCTCGTTGGGGCCAGTGGGATGAATTCTTGTAGCCGCAGAGTGCTTTCTTGGCCACCTGCTAGAATGAGTTCTGTTTGTTGCGTGCTTACACAATTCAGATTGTTTAGAAATGGTCTGTATCCATTATTGTTAGCGTCAACAGAATCCCAAATGACATACAAATTGGCACCGGGACAACTTTGCTATCTCAGAGAGCTTGCAGCTGAGCTACTCTTCCGCGAGACTTTTTGACACAGCGCAATGGCAGACAGATTCAGATTCTTAATCTTCCTCTAAGACAGGGAGAGCTGAGGTCACCGGCCAGAATAGCGGCTGCATCCCATTGCTTGAGTTACTGTTAATTTAAGCAGAGCTGGCACTGTTGTACCTTGCTCTTTCTTTCTCTTAATTCTATGTGAGATGAGCAGTGGTGAAGCCAGGAGGATATAAAACACTACGTAAACAGCAAAGCTGTTTCTTTCTCTTATCCGCAGGCCTTAGGATTTAAAAGTAAATTCATGCTTTTGTAACCTGGTGAAATACTGTTCTAGTTTAATAAGAAATGGTAAAAATCCTTAGGATTTTTTCCTATAAAAGCGTGAAAGAGACACTCCTTTTCTGAATATATTTTTGCTGGATTGGGCACTGACTAATCACAAGATCATTCAAGTGCACGTTGGACTGAATATGGCCAGCATGAATTTCAATAAACAATTGTCTGGAAATGCTAACACCGTTGGAGCGAGGACACCAAATCATCGGCTCCTTCCTGTTTAGGAAGGCTGAGACATTGCTGAGAGGAGAGTGACACGATAATATTTTTAATTATTTATATCCTGGCGTGGATTTTAATGACAGTGAGGGATGTGAAACTTGAAATTGCCAAATTTCCATATGTGCACAAGTGGACAGACATGATTTTTGTATCTGTTTGAACAGGAAAGAGGTCATACCAGTATTCAGCACCTGCGTGTCAGCACGAGTAGCCCCAGAAGAAACCCATGGCTGTTTGCAGCAGAATATAGCTGGCCTCGTAAAACACCCAGGGGCTTGGTCCCGAGGGCCATTCTGCTGGCTCCAGTAGCGCTCCCGGTTCCTGTGCCTGCCTCTGTGCCGGGTTGGGAGAGGTGAGCTGGCAGCCCGAGTCCATCCTCGCTGCCAAGCCTGTGCAGTTAAGCACTGTTTTAGTGTATTTTGTAGACCTGGAGGAGAAAAGAAGGAAGCTGTTCCAAGACCTATATTCTAAAAATCAGCTGGGGCAGGCAGGGTCTCCAGCCCTGGCCCTCTGGCTCTGAGTGGGGAGGCAGCAAACGAAAACCCTCTGGGCACGGCTGGAAGAATCGAGGATTTCCTTGGATTGCCATTGCTGCGGCCCCAGAAGCCACAACATGCCATAAAAAGTGCTTTATAAGCTCATTACCCTCCAACAGACAAAACAGAGAAATGAAACTTAAGAAGTTGTACTAATATTTTCTTTTTTTCCTTGTTAATGGCCAACAAAGTGTTAATTACCATACTGGCTGTTAACAGTCCTGGAGCCTTTGCCTTCGAGCCCTTGTGATGAGAAAACCAAACATTGATGAGAATCGTTGCCAATTTGGTATGCTCAGTTACAGTGGAGATTTTTTATGGTATTTCTGCGGGGGAAAAACCCACCCCTATGGTGCAAACAGGGCGGTTTTAAGGCAGTTCTCTCACCGCCGTGCTGGCCCCATCTCCCCTGTGTGCTTCCATCCAGGGGGGCCTGGTTGCCACCGAGACCCTCTGAGCAGGGTTTTCTCCATAGGTCTGTCCGCAGGTGCTGGAGCAAACACCGATGCATGACATTATGAATGTGTGACATTATAAATGTGAATTAATAGAGGCAGGCCTAGGGCTGAAGGCGGACTGGCAGAGAAGACGAGCCGTGGTGGCAAACCCAATGGCAAGCATTGGCTTTGGAATTACGAATTAACTCAGTTCCTGCTCGGTTCCTGCGTGGTGCTGGCAGGGAGGAAGCAGTTTATGAGCACTCTGAGACAAATCCGGGCAAGGCAGCAGCGAAGCCGACTTAATCCAGCACGGCAGCGTGACTCAGAGCCTTGCTGCCCAGCGCCGCTCCGCTCCATCTCCCCAATCATCCCTTTTCCTTTTCCTTCCCCTCCTGTTCCCCCCAGCCCCACACCCTCTGTCGCCACTCCCAGTGACCCCAGCAGGGCCCAGTCCCCCCGTTCCCAGTGAGCCCAGCAGGGCCCTGCCCGGTGTTCCCAGCTCGGCCTCTGCGTCCCCGTGCTAGAGCTGTGCCCCCAAGGGCTGTCGCTGTCCCCTGGCATTAAATGCCACCCCAAAGGCTGTGAGTTGCCCCACAGTGGCCCCCTCGGTGCCAACCCGGAGCCCCCAGCCTGCACCCCCAAGGCCCTGGGGCCTGTCCCCCCTGTCACTGCCCACAGTGATGGGGCCTCCTCCAGGCCTGTCCCCCTTCCCCAGGCCCTGGCCCCTTCCCCTGTCCCCCATTCCCCTTCCCTTGGGCCCTGTTCCCTTTCCCCAGTGTCCACGGGGCCGGGACCAAACCACCGGGCCCTGTCCCCTTCCCCTCATGCCCCCCCCAAATCCCCTCACGTCCCCCTCAGGGACCCCCAGACCCTTATGCTCCCCATCATGCCATGCCCCCCCCATCCCCTCATACTTCCCTCAGGCCATGACTCCCCCCATCCCCTAACCCCGTGCCCCCCCCCCAGGCTGTGATCCCCCCAATCTCCTCTCACCCCCCTATCACCCTGTTCCCTCCCCCCCCATCTTCATACCCCTTGAGGCTGTGACTCACCCCCAACAGGCTGTGACCCCCTCAAGTCCCCTCACCCCCCCCTCAGGCACCCCTGGCCCTATGCCCCCCATCATGCTGTGACCCCCCCATCCCCTCACCCTGTTCTCTCCCCATCCCCTCATTCCCCCCTCACCCTGTGCCCCCCTCATCAGGCTGTGCCCCCCCCAATCCCCTCCCGTCCCTGTCATGCTGTGCCCCCCCTCACACCCCCTTCATGCTGTGACCCCCCCAATCCCCTCACACCCCCTCAGGCCATGCCCCCCCCATCCCCTCACCCTGTGCCACCCCATCATGCTGTGACCCCCCCATCCCCTCACCCCTCACCCTGTGCCCCCCCATCCCCTCACACCCCCTCACCCTGTGCCACCCCATCATGCTGTGACCCCCCCATCCCCTCACCCCTCACCCTGTGCCCCCCCATCCCCTCACACCCCCTCACCCTGTGCCCCCCCATCATTCTGTGACCCCCCCCATCCCCTCACCCTGTTCACTCCCCAGCCCCTCACCCTGTGATCCCCTTCATGGCTGTGACCCCTCCCATCCCCTCACTCCCCCCTACCCCATGCCCCCCCCATCAGGCTGTGCCCCCCCCAATCCCTCCCACCCCCTCCCCCCGTGCCCCCCCCATCATGCCGTGACTCCCCCCATCCCCTCACCCCTCACCCTGTGCCCCCCCTCAGGCTGTGCCCCCCCCATCCCCTCCCACCCCCTCATGCTGTGCCCCCCCTCACACCCCCATCATGCCGTGACCCCCCCATCCCCTCACCCTGTTCCCTCCCCATCCCCTCTCCCTGTACCCCCCCCATCAGGCTGTACCCCCCCCAATCCCCCCCCATCCCGTGACCCCCCCCACCCCATTTCTCCCCCACTCCCCCCATCCCCTCTCCCCGTGCCCCCCCCATCAGGCTGTGCCCCCCCCTCCCCTCCCCTCCCCTCCCTCCCCTCCCCTCCCCTCCCTCCCTCCCTCCCTCCCTCCCTCCCTCCCTCCCCGCCCCTCTCCCGGCCCCGCCCCCTCCCCTCCCCGCCCCTCCCCTCCCCCTTTAGCCCCGCCCCCCGCCCCCGCCCTCCCTCCCTCCCCCCCCCCCCTCTCTGGGCGCTGGGCAGCAGCGGGGCCGCCGCCATTTTGGAGGCCGCCGGAGCGCCCGCGCCCGCCGCCCGCTGTCAGCGCAGCCCCGGCCCCCGCCGCGCCCCCGCCTCGGCCGCGGCCCATGCCCGCCGCGCCGCGGGGCCTCGCAGCCAGGCAGCGCCACAGCGGCCCCGACAGGGGCTGGACGGCAGGGCCGGACCCCAGCAGGTGAGACCCGCGGCCGGGCCCACCGCCGAGCTGTCACCGACACCGGGGCCGGGCCGCGCCCCCCCCCCCTTTCCTCTGCACCCCCCCTCGCCTCCCTCCACCTCCGCCGCCTTCACGGAGGCTCCCGTGGAGGGCCCGGGGTCGCTAGGCCCGGTGGGGGCGGTGCGCGGCCTGCCCCTCACCCGCCTACACCGCGACCCCCGCCCGGCCCCGCGACCCCCCCCCACCGTGCCGCGACCCCCGGGACCCCCCCGGGGCTGCCCCGCTGCAGGCCCGGGCCCGGGCCCTCCCCGCCGGCCGTGCCCGCGGGGGTCTGAGGGGGATGAGTGGGGGGCCGGGGGGTGCTGTGGGGTCAGAGGGGTGCTGTGGGGTCGGGGGGAGCCCCCATGGTACCCCCCCGGTGCCACCATCCCGTTGTGGGGTCCCGCGGGGGGGGGCCGCTGCCCTCAGGGGGTCCCTTCGGAAAGCCGGGGCCTTGTTTTGCAGCGCTTCAAAAAAAAAAAAAAAAAAAAAGGAAAAAAAAACAGCACCACAAAAAATAACAAAAAACACAACAACTAGGAAGTGAAAAACAGGCGCAGAGAACTTGGGAGGGCCCGAGGTGCTTTTCGGCTCCTGATCTCCCCGTCAGGAACAGCGACTCGGAAAGCCGAGGCCTTGTTCCCGATGTGATCTGTTTTCCCTGCAAAGCGAAAGGAGAAAGTTGCTATTTTCGGGCCCGTGCAGGGCCCAGCGTGTAGCTGCCGACCGGCAGGCTTTGCTTTTTAATAACGCCCGGCTTTAAGGGTGACGGGAGATCAAACAGTGATGATTTTCCTTATTATCCTGACACTTCGAGGCAAACAGCCTGCCAAAATATTTCGGTGGTTTAAAAAAAAAAAAAAAAAAACCCCTAGTGCATGGTAGTATAGCAATTTCCATAGCAACGGCTGGTGATATCATGGTAAGCAAAGTTACATTTTGGGCCGCGCAGGAGGAGCGTAAAACGATCCTGAGCGAGCCCATAAACGCCTGCTCGGGGGATGACCCGGGGCTGGGCAAGAACACAACCCTTGGAAACTGGAGGCCTGCTTTGATTCTCGTCTCCGTGTCGTGCAGACGTTTCTGGGGCCTTTGGCACGTTCTGGGTGTTACGTTGCAAATCTGGGGACAGCGTCCTGGCCAGAAATGGGGTAGAAGTTGTGGCGTGGCAGCTCCCGGGAGGAGTTGAGGTGGTGGCACAGCAGGGTTGGGCAGGGGGCAGATTTGAGGTGCTGGGGGGCTCCTGCCCGCTTCAGCCCCCCGTTGGCAGCTGCTGTGCACGGGGCGTTTGCTCAGGGGTGGTGGGGAGCAAACCGAAATGCCCTCGTTCGGAGCACGGTGCTCGATGGAACCGTAACGCTGCCGTAGGAGGGACGGGCTGGAGTTTTAAGTTCATAGTTCAGAAATCGGAGTGTCACATTCAAATGGACGATAAAGCCAGCTATCTGCAGCCCCGTATCTCGTTACCCTAGTAATATTTGAGCACCCTCAGACCGCGGGTTGGAGTCGCCCGTAGGACGCTGCAGGGTGCTGTCAGCAGTGTCACAGCCCTTCTGCCCTGCTCCCTTGTGAGGGGATGGTGGAAAGCAGGGGGTGCCTGTGGGGCTGCTGGGGACAGGCGGTGCTTTGGGGTCTCCCCAGCTCAGGGCTTGCTGCTCAGGACTCAGCTGGGATGAGCTGGGGCCTCGCTGTCCCCAGGTTGTGCAGTCCTGAGCTCCAGGAGGAAGCAGCTCCATGGACGGGCTTCTCCTCCTCCTCGCAGGGCTGTGCTGGCTGGAAGGAGCCCTTCCTCCCGTGCCTGCTCCTTGCTTTTACCGGCTGTCAGCTGAGGTGCCAAAGAGAAACCAAAAGCGCTGCTCTGTCCTGAGCACCACGGAGCTTCAGCAACCAAAGGTGCTGTGTTTGGGGAGGGGGAGGACGGGCTTTTGTGTGCCCTGCTGCTGGTGACGAGGTCTGTAGAGGTGTAAGTGTAAAAGCTGCAGATTATACGTTGGGGAGAGTGACTCCACATGCATAATCAAGCAGTGTGTTTTCTTAACACGGTGGCTTGGAGCCTGAAGTGTCAGTGCCTGAAGGGCAGCAGCGAGAGCAGCCTAATAAGCTCGGCCGAAAAAACGGGTGAACTGGAATGCCGAGAAAGAGGAGAGAGCCTCGTTAGAGTAAATGCTGCTGGAACAATAGTAGAATGACGAGAATAACAGGGAAACTTGGGTGTAAGTGACACGGGAGGAACAGTTGAGGTCAGGGAGTGGGGAGCGAAGCAGGAGCCGAGTGTTGGCAGCTCGGGAGCTTTGCAGGGAGGAGCACCTGGGGGAGGTCTTGCTGCTGGTGGTGGGAGGTTGGTGGAGCACTAATTGCGGGGAGCAGAGGTAAGAGGCCGCGCTCCGGAGCGATGCCGGCTCCCATCTAGGCAGTCAAATATGGAGCTGCAGTGCCAAGGAGCAGTCGTGCGCTCCCAGCCCTATTTATAGGGTAAGGCAGTTCTGTTCTTAATTATCTTTGATGGGCCGGGGGATCGCTTTGGCTGTTTGTTACCTCCTTCTCACGGGAGATCTACAGACGTGAGCGGGTTTATGTGAGGATCAGGGAAGAATGTGGCCTCTCCGTGACCAGTAGTAGCAACAAAGGAGCTGAGGTGTCCTCTCTGATTCAATATTATGAGAAGCAGAAGCACGTTGGCTTTTCTGGCCGCGGCTGTGTTCCTGGGCCGCTTGTTCCTTTCGTTGCGCTTTGCTCCTTCCCTCCCCGCGCCCTCCCCTCCCCCTGGGCCTTGTTTTGGTCCTAAGGCAGGCGGCAGAGCAATAACCAATATTGACTTTATCCTGACGTGCCTGGGCTATTTTTACCTGCGTGTTAACTCGGGCAGGGGGGAAATCCAGGCAGAGAAATGTTGAAGTTATCTCAGGGAAGGAAGCTTTCACAGCCGGCGTGAAGAAGCTCGGGTCTCTGCAGTGCCCTGCGTGTGCCTGGGGCTCGAGCCCACTCTGTGAGCTGCAGGTTGACAGCTCTGGCTGGATCTGGACAGCACCATTCTGGCTTTTTGCTTTTTAATGCCACTTGGTCCGAGGGAAACCCAAGGGGCTGCCGGTGGCCGTGGCAGCAGAGCGGCTGCGCAGCCGTCCCCGGCGTGCAGCCGACAGCGTGCTTTGGCAGGGGTCGGGAAGGGGCTGTCAGCAGGAGCGGGATGAGCTCTCTCAGAAGAACGTCGTGGCAGGAGGAGGAAGTCGAAAGCATCGGCCTGAGCCTGGAAGCTCTGCAGCTGTTGTGCTGGGGCTGCTGCCTGCTGCCAGGTTTTTTGTTTCTCTTTCTTGGTGCCTGCCGGACTTCTCGTCCTGCGTGGGGCGGCCGCTGGCCCTTTTGGGAGCGAGGTGCCAGCTGCCCTGCTCCCCTGGGCCCTGTCCCCGGCGTGGCAAACACCGAATTTCTCACCGCTGCGTCCTGACACGGCTCTGACACAATCTTATCTGTACAGAAGGGAAGCCGGAAGGCACGAGAAAATAACATTATGGGTAAATGGCAAAGTTCAGGCTGCTCCTGAAGGCAGCCAGGCCGCGCTCGGGGCCATTTCGTTACCTCAGCAAAATAAAACTTCCACCAAGCTCGGTTTTGGTGGGGGTGGTTGGCCATCTACAGGATTTGCAAAAACTTTCCCAAGGTACTGATTCCTTGAATTCAAGGTTTTTGTTGGGTTGGCAAACGACTCTGCCATTCTTCCTCTCGTGCCCATCGTAGGCTTTTTTCCTCTCTTCAGTTCTGCAGTTTGCTGCTGTTCAGAACGCCGTGGCTCGCAGTGACACTGGTAAACATTTTGTCACTTTGATTTTGATTTTCTTTGGCAGAATCGGGAGCAGCAGCAGCAGAGCAGGCATCAGCACTGCTCGCTGAGGGGGAAGCACAAAAGGGTGCAAAGACTGCGGCGGTGGAGGTGGCCGTTCCTGCTGCAGCCTGCGGCAGGAAGAAGGCAACACAACACGTTTCAGTTTCAATTTTGTCTTTAATTTTTCCCTGGTAGACTTATGTTAACAGACAGCGCATGTGATGGGTATGCCCTCACGTTTCCTGATGATGCCGTGCATTCCCTGCCGTGTTCTCCCTTCCTTTCTCCCCCTTGCTCTTCGTTCCCGATGGTCTCGCGGAACCTGGGGCTGTTCCAGCTTCCCAGCTCCATGTGCACAGGGCGGGGTGGCACGAGGCAGGCCGTGTTTCTGCAGCCATTTACCGTTTCATTCTGTTCCTTCAGAGCATCCTCTGGCATCCCATTTACTGTAATTCTTCTCTTCTAAGACCGATTCCCACTTTTTAGAAGGATAACTGAGACTGCAAGCGGTCAGGTTGACAACTTTCTGCCTCCCCAAGCCGGAGGACAAGGGTGCAGCTCCGGGGCCCTGTGATCTGGCCCTGGCCCAGGCTGCTGTGTGTTGGCATTAACACTTGTGCTGCCGCTGAACGCCAGTGCTGCTCCAGGTGAGGAGCTTGCAGCTGGATCAGCTCCCACGAGCAGCTCGATGTGCGGTTGCACAAGCAGTGCTGACACACGGGAGGATGCGGGAAGCCGACCTGGGAGGGAGAGGAGGGCAGAGCAGGTCTCTGTCTGCATTTGAATAAGGTGTGGTTCCCATTGAACTGATCTGAGTTTGCAGCGTGGCTGTTCCTGCTTTGTCCCGTGCTTCCAGGGAGCCGCGCTGTCAGGACTGCTCCTCCTGCTCGATTTTATTTCTGCTGCCTTATTGTACTCCGGGTACTCAGCACCGTAGGGACTGAGCACCGCTGCCCTGCTGGCAGACCGCTAAATGGGAAGGGGCTGCGGCGGTGTGAGGGAAGGCTGGGATTAAATCAGACTGAGCTACTAGTGCCATATCGGGTCATCCTCAGAGTCCTGAGACTTCAGCTCCTGAGCTATAGAGCATCCAGGTGCTGGCCAACAGATGCCCGGCCAGCTCTCTGTTTAACAAATGAGAAGATCCTAAATACCAGATTTC